TGAAAACAACCACCGTCGAATCCCACCGGTGCTTTTAGCGGTCATCCCTTCGACGTCGAATCCCGATGGCCCGTGCCATGGCGATGGCGATTCCCCAATGGCTTTTATGGCTTAGTCAGCAACATCTTTACATTCACCATGGAAAACAGCTTTGTCTCATCAACTCATACTATAGTTACTATAGCAAAAAGAAAAAGAACCAGAGTTGTGGAGAGTTATGGCCCATCTTAGAGGGCACATCTTACCACCATAGGCCCATATATAAGCTGTTCAAGTCTTACCATGGCCCCATCATCTCATCTGGAAAAAGTATTGGAATTCACTGGCCTGAAAGAAGGCCATTTTGTTGATGCTTCCCCTACTAACCATCATTCCACTGACGTCGCAGTAAGCTCGTTATAATTCACCGGGATGTACTATTGGTTATATATTCCAGGTCCCACTACCATGGCCAATCTCTGGTAGTCCACAAATCATGAATCTGCGGTTATGGTGATTTCATCACAAATTTTAAAAAAAAAATCAAAAAAAAAACAAAAAAAAAACACTATAGGAATCACTCAACCCCCCATGTCCCCATCCAGTCCCTTGGAGATGTCCACCATTTCCACCTTTCTTCAACGCTCGTCCTGCGCGAAGCGCTCGTTGGCGTATTTCCCATCGGCCACCAGTGGATGCCCCGCGGACGCCAGGTGCGCGCGGATCTGGTGCCGGCGCCCGGTGAGGATGCGCACCAGCAGCAGGCTGAAGGCGGCGCCTGTTTCGACCTGGAGAGCCAGGTCAAAACAGACGGGGAGATGGGGAAAGACCTGGAAAGACCTGAAAAAAAAATCATGGGATTGAGGCGATTTATAGGATTTCACTGAAAAGAAAAAGATGTTTTTTGGAACAAGTTTTGTGATCTAATTGATTTTAACGGAGTGACGCCAGTGAAGCAAACACGATTGGGATCACAAGCAAGAATTGGGAAGTGGCTGGAATGTGTATGATGTCACCAGTTATGATGTGATGATCAAGGGCTATATCAGAAATCCCAAGTGCCTCATCTTCATGCAAGACCGTGTCATGGCCAATCTTAGATACCTTGCGCCCAAAAAAACTAATGTCATGTATAGTTTTCCCTCTTTTCCCTTTTAAAAATATAAAGAACAACCTAAAAGATTGCGGATACTTAAGATATACTTATAGCATCTTATAGCAAGCCCAAGTCATAGATGCCAAAAGTTGGTACATGGAAATATGAGGCAAATATCATCGAACTAGCATCCCTACCATTCCATACCTACCACATACCCTCTGTCGTTTAGCGCCTGGCGTGTGCCATGGGCTAGCACCTTGATCTTGGTCGTGGCTGGCTTCCCATAGCCTAACCCGGAAGCGACCGGGCACCGAGTGGGAACAGGTCGCATATTGCATTGGAATTTTACAGGAAAACCATAGGAAACCTGCAGGAAACCATGTTTTTTTTTACAATTCAACAGAAGGTTATTTAACACAGCCATGGAAAGATCCACCATTTTTTATAGGTAAACCATCTATTTCTATGGGCCATCTATCCCATGGCTATGTCATAACCAGAGGGAGAAGGATTTCCTGTAGAGTTTCCTTTCGTCCACTTCTGTACCAAGAAGAAGAAGGTATGTCGGCCACGTCGCCTCCCCATCCCCTAGATCAAACATGGCGCGTAGGGTTCATGTTGACCAAAAAAGGTGTCTTCACACACGCAAGAATGCCTTGGAGTTAAAGAAAACTATCAATGTGGGGTCGTGCACTCTTAGTAGCTGGCCATTTCGTAGGAAATATGGGGGTTTCCATACATGGAGGCACCTCAAAATGGATGGTTTATAATGGAACATCCTATACAAATGGATGATTTAGGGGTACCCCTATTTTAGGACACCCCCATATAGATAGCCATAGCTCAGCTCACCGCTCAGCTCGCCAGGTCGCGCCTCGCACCACGGTGGGCAGATGCGTTCCCTCCGCCCAGTAGAGCGGCTGTCGGAGGGTCAGCTCCGGTGCGCTGACGCGACCGTGGCAAAGCACCACATAGTCCTTGGGACGGTCCGGTTTATGCAGGCCATCCAGGACCCTAGCGACCAACATAATGTGTCAGGGTATATGGGATGTGGTCATCTATCATCATCTATCCCATATTTGGGAATCCAATCATGATGCGTATCTAAAATATCAATCCCTATTAAAATGGATGAAAATGGATTGATGACCATCTCCTATATATATATAATATATATATATACTGTTCATATCACCATGACACATCTATCACCATAAACCATACGTTATGATTCCTTTTTCAGGATTCCTTGGTCCCATGGATGGGCCAGCGAAATCCTGCACCAGTGGTAGATGGGCCAGCGTCATCGCTTCCAGTCATCCCATTGTGGAGGTAAACCCATGGGAGGAACCCCACGGATGAACAAAGTAATCCAGCGATAAAGGGCTACCCCCATGGCGATGGAAACCTCCAAATTGTTGATGGTTTAGAATGGAAAATGACTTATGACATCACCAATGGTTGAATGACAGAATGGTACCAACTTATGGTTGATATTCCTATGCCATTGTTGGTGAATATCAACCGTGGCATCATGGCATCACCAAGTTCAGCCACTCGAATGGTGTCCCTGGAGTTCATCTGAAGCAGCAGGTCGTAGTAGGCCTCGTAGGTCTTTGCCACGATGACCTCGGGAAGGAGCTCTGGGGGCTCAGTGAAAGCCTGTTTGGGCGAAGCAAATTCCCTTCAACTTTTGCTATTGTATGGCTATTTTCTTGAGAAGAACACTGTTTTTGGGCAAGCCTAATCCTTCTAGGATAAATGCAAATTTCTGCTATAATTATGACCCCCTCGGTCTTTGGCGGTGAATCGTGTTCAGTGTTATCTCCACCATCAATCCAAGTCACTCCAGTGATGTTTACCAACTTAGTCGCATTTCATCAATTGACTCGAAAGAATGAAAGAATATCAGAAATAAATCCTCATATTGTATGCATATGCATATGTATATATATATATAGTATATATTAAAAATTTAATAAATCCCATTAAATCCCATTATATATATCCACATATCATACCATATAAATTCCATGAAATCCCCAATTTTCCCAAGGTTTTTCCCATGTTTCACCGTGCCAAAAAAAAAAACACGGTTTTTCTGAACCTCGTCCCAGGCGCCAGGCCCGAACAGGGCACGTCCAGGCGGTGCAAAAAGCCGCAGCTGGCATTGATGTCCTGGGAACGACGGTGGGGAAATGGTGATTTGATGGTGATTTGATGGTTATTTAATGGTGATTAATGATGATTAATGGTGGTTAATGATGGTGAATGATGATTATATATTTATATAATGGTGATTTGATGGTGATTTGATGGTGATTTGATGGTGATTTGATGGTGATTTGATGGTGATTAATGGTGATTTGATGGTGATTTGATGGTGATTTGATGGTGATTCGGTACATATCTTGGTAAATAGTTTTGTGAACCAATCCCACCAAATAGTAATTTAACCATTCACCAAAGAGTGATTTTCACAGTGATTCTGGTGGTTCCTGTTGGTTGTGAATGGTGGTGTCCTTGCTTCGTAGAACACCATGGTTACTGCTATGGTAAATTAATTGTTGCCTACTAATGGTGATTAATGTTAGGTAAATAAATAGTGGTTCCTACTGTTGATTAGTAATTAGTGGCTACTGTTACTATTCTAATATTACTAATAGTGGTAGATATCTAATATTACTATACGAATGACTATTAAAAACCATGGTTATTGGTTATTATTCACTACCGTTATTGAATATTGGTCTTAAATAGTCACCAACTATTAAATTGTGACTGTTCTTAATAGTAAAATGGTTAAATGTTGGTGACTCTTGGTAGTTTTCATTGATGGTTAGCAATATAAGATTGGCCAATGGTTACTCATATTTCCCAACATTTACCAAACATAGTTTTACTATTAGTAATTAGTAGGCATTGATAGTTGGTGACTATTATCAATAGTTAAATGGTGGTTATTGTTGGTGAATATTTGGGAAAATCACCGTTGTTAATCACCAGTAGTAACCATTTTGGTAAAATCACTATTAGCAGCCATTAATCTAGTTGCTCAGCGTAATTTGCTTCATGTTGGGTAAAATCACATGTAATGTTGGTGAAAATATGGTGTTTTATCACAAGTAACCCTAACCCATTAGAATCACCAGTAGTAACCATTAGAAACCATTGCTAATCACCAGTGTGACCATTTTCGTAAAAATCATCAGTCATTTGGCAAATGTTTCGTGTGTGGTGTTTCTGTAGAGAATCTTGGTAAGTTTGGCGATGATGTTCATTGTGTAAATTTGGTGAAACTATGGTAAAAAATCACCATAATTGACCATAATCACCGTCAAGCATTTGATATTCACTTGTAAATTTGGTAAAATATTGCAAAATCACGAATACAATTAGTAACCTTGGGCTTAATAATCTTAATTTGACAAAATCACCAATGCAATCTTGGTAAACTTGGAAAATCTTGGTAAGTGTGGCAAATAAATGACCAGTTAAATGATCAATATCACCAAAAATATGGTAACATGTGGCATTACCTATTGTTTAAGATTCAGCAAGATTTATTTGGACAATTTGCTGGAAATCTAGGTAAATGATGCCTTGAGAGTAGCTAGTCTCCGGTAATTTCGATGATTTACCTACAAAACGTGGTGATTTCCACTAGCTGATGAATATCACCAAATAATATGGTCAGACATTACTGATGTTTAATATCAAATGATATTGATTTAGTACATTTGGTGAATACCAGAGTGAATACACATCAAATTTACCAGATTTACCATATCTACGTTGATTTACGGGAATCAATGTATTGTTTGGTCAAATCCACCGGAACATGAGTAACTCGTGGGAAACAATTGTGGGGGCTGGTAAATTCACCCCGTTTTTTCGGAGAAAAATCGCCCCGGAACGAGAAAACCTCGGGCCACGGTTCCGAGAAGATCGGATGTCTTGGGTATCGCTCTTTCCTTGGAGTAGATTCGACGGCATGGGGCACATTGGAGACCTAGGGGTTTGAAAATCATCAATGCAAAAACAAGTAATTATATGATGTAAGTAAAGCAATATAATAAACCATCCCCCAGTCATCACCATTTTTATAGGTGCTATGGTTACCATTCCGAGTGATGGGTGGTTTACGGCATTGCTTTTCCCACATTACAAGAATCTGTGGGGATAGAAAGGTCCAAATCCCTAAGACTCCAGAGATCACTTGATGAACGTTCATCGTTCATCTATGAGCCTTGTGCTATTGATTGAGCCCTAAACCCCCGGCGGAATCTTCAGAACACCCCAACCACTTCATCCCCATCACATTCCTAGCTTTCCTCGCTTCATATTTGGCTCATCGACTCTCCATTCTACCCCCAACATCATGAGGGCTAGATACTTCTAAGTATTGCCCGATTCCTCCCCCCAAATCTCCAAATTCAAGTCCAAAATCAACAAAACTAGACTCTAGACCATCCTGAGTATTCTCAGTAAAATCCAAGGTTGTCAGACTTCTTTACCCTCTGGTAAACGTACAAAAAACTATGGAAAATCACCATTTGTATTGGGAAAATCCACTATTTCTATGGCCATTTTCAATAGCTCACCGGATCCCCCATGGGATCCCCAGACGAGGCGCATGAAGCCCGACAGCCGCGCCGCGTCGTCCTCGCGGAACGGCTGATGGACCTTGTCCTGGTCCACTTCCCAGCCCGGCGGCTTCTCAAGCACCAGCCGGTCCTTGGTCGGTCGACATCTAAGATATCCAAGATGCAGATGGACATGGAAAAGTAGCTATAGGTGTATATATATATATATATACCCGCAGGACGCTTGGTTTGCCGTCGGTGTATATGCATGTTTTTTGTTTTTTTTGGGGGGTGGGGTGGGGTGGGGGGGGGGGTGGGGGGGGGGGCGGGTGTGGGGGGGGGGGGTTGGGGGTTTGGGGGGGGGTTGGGTGGGGGGGGGGTGTGTGTGAAAAAAGTCTTGGTCGCGCGCTTTTTTTTTGGCTGACAAATATGACATTTATCGCTATGTTTCCAGGGTGGAAATGCTACGTTATCGTTATGTTTTCAGGGTGGAAATGCTACGTTATCGTTATGTTTTCAGGGTGGAAATGCTACGTTATCGATATGTTTTCAGGGTGGAAATGCTACGTTATCGATATGTTTTCAGGGTGGAAATGCTACGTTATCGGTATGTTTTCAGGGTGGAAATGCTACGTTATCGGTATGTTTTCAGGGTGGAAATGCCACGTTATCGGTATGTTTTCAGGGTGGAAATGCTACGTTATCGGTAAGTTTTCAGGGTGGAAATGCCATGTTATCGATATGTTTTCAGGGTGGAAATGCTACGTTATCGTTATGTTTTCAGGGTGGAAATGCTACGTTATCGGTATGTTTTCAGGGTGGAAATGCCACGTTATCGATATGTTTCAGGGTGGAAATGCTACGTTATCGGTATGTTTTCAGGGTGGAAATGCTACGTTATCGTTATGTTTTCAGGGTGGAAATGCTACGTTATCGATATGTTTTCAGGGTGGAAATGCTACGTTATCGGTATGTTTTCAGGGTGGAAATGCTACGTTATCGGTATGTTTTCAGGGTGGAAATGCTACGTTATCGGTATGTTTCCAGGGTGGAAATGCTACGTTATCGTTATGTTTTCAGGGTGGAAATGTTACGTTATCGTTATGTTTTCAGGGTGGAAATGCTACTTTATCGTTTTTTTTTCAGGGTGGAAATGCTACGTTATCGTTATGTTTTCAGGGTGGAAATGCTACGTTATCGTTATGTTTTCAGGGTGGAAATGCTACGTTATTGGTATGTTTTCAGGGTGGAAATGCTACGTTATCGCTATGTTTTCAGGGTGGAAATGCCACGTTATCGCTATGTTTTCAGGGGGTGGAAATGCAACTTTATCGGTTTCTTTTCAGGGTGGAAATGCGACGTTTTCAGGGTGCAAATGCTACGTTATCGGTATGTTTTCAGGGTGGAAATGCTACGCTGTCGTTATGTTTTCAGGGTGGAAATGCCACGTTATCGATATGTTTTCAGGGTGGAAATGCTACGTTATCGGAATGTTTTCAGGGTGGAAATGTTACGTTATCGTTATGTTTGCAGGGTGGAAATGCTACGTTATCGTTATGTTTGCAGGGTGGAAATGCGACGCTATCGTTATGTTTTCAGGGTGCAAATGCTACGTTATCGGTATGTTTTCAGGGTGGAAATGCTACGCTGTCGTTATGTTTTCAGGGTGGACATGCTACGTTATCGGAATGTTTTCAGGGTGGAAATGCTACGTTATCGTTATGTTTGCAGGGTGGAAATGCTACGTTATCGTTATGTTTGCAGGGTGCAAATGCGACGTTATCGTTATGTTTTCAGGGTGCAAATGCTATGTTATCGGTATGTTTTCAGGTGAAGATACCGAGCCTCAAAGGTGTCTCCCACCTTAAAAAGGTCTTCACCCCGGTTGCGGTGCTACCGAAGAAGAATCTAGGTGCATTTGCTCACCGCACTTTGCACAAGGCGACTTTGGGCTCCACACCTACGACGAAAGAGAACAAGAAGGAATTCAAAGCAGTCGCTGGAGACAATGCAGCGGAAGGCCGCCTAGGCCAAATAAAAAACACCATGAGAAGGCAAAATGCCTTAGGTCGCCACAGAAAGAGAACCAAAGCCGCCAATGTACAGGTCTTGGCAGCAGCGGCACTTCACCGCCAGGCAGGGCTGACAACAGTGCTGACTGCGATGAAGAAGTATCGGCAGGCTTGTTCAACAGGAACAGTGCGAATCGCCCCTGCTGAATGTTTCAATGAGACTAAAGTACCTTGGCTGACCTGAGAAAAGTTGCTTTCCAGCCGACGGCGAACCAAGCGTCCTGGGATGTTATTATATCGATATATATAGATAGGGTGTGTGTATGTGTGTCTTTGTGTACGTATGTACGTATGTACGTATGTACGTCTGTACGTCTGTACGTCTGTACGTATGTACGTATGTACGTATGTACGTATGTACGTATGTATGTACGTATGTACGTATGTACGTATGTACGTATGTACGTATGTACGTATGTACGTATGTACGTATGTACGTATGTACGTATGTACGTATGTACGTAGGTACGTACGTATGTACGTACGTACGTACGTACGTACGTACGTAGGTACGTACGTACGTACGTACGTATGTATGTATGTATGTATGTGTATATATATATTTACATATATGTGTATGTATGTATGTATATATATGTATATGGAATGATATGGAGAGATAGAGAATTATGATAATTTTGCAGGAAATGCTGGGATGTTACATAAGTTACAATTGAACATATTTCGGGAGGGCGTTGGACAATTACAATCCATGGTCACAAGCAATGGTCATTGGTGCAATGTTGCTGGCTCCAATATGTGCAGTGTACCCAAGATCTACCGTATGTGGATATCTCGTAAACATCCACATTCTCCAATTACAGTATCCAAAATAAAAATATACACGTGCATGTGTAGAATATTCGAGGCCTTCGACTGTGAAAGTTCAATCGCAGAATTCGTGTATCTTTGGATGATCTATGGCCAAAAAAGACATGTCTAACAAACGCAACCATGCATGCCCTCTTGAAACAAAAAAACTGATCTGAAAGTGGAAACTAGGGCGACTATTGTCCCTTCGTTTTTGTAGTTCCTATTCAAAACGAACCCCAAACCAAAATTGAAAATCGAAAGCGCCCTCTGTCAAAACAACCACAAACCAGGCGGTTTGTTTGTCACATTTTATTCCTAGGGACTTCATCACCTTTCACAGACTTGCTCCAACATCTCCCCACGGCCGCTCGGTGAATCGATAGTTTCGGAAACTGGGTGCTTTTACACCTTGATCTACCCATAGAGACATCATTTTACCCGTGGAGAGCAGCCCTTGCTCCAGCTGAAACACTTCCAACTCCAGGACCACCTGTGGATCGACCAGTCCTGGCCGCGACCTGCGCGGTGGGCATACCACATGGTCCCTACCCCCCTTCTTTGATGCTTAACTCCGAATATGCTGTGATAAAAAGCCACAATATCTTAAGAGAAATCACATGAAATCACCATATCTGTTTGGTGTTTTAAGCCCCAGCTCAAATTTTGGGATGTTAAAAAATCGATATAGGCAGCGCAATATATCATATATATATATATATACGTAAATATATTGAGAGAGAGAGAGATAGGTAGATAGGTAGATAGGTAGATAGGTAGATAGGTAGATAGGTAGATAGGTAGATAGGTAGATAGGTAGATAGGTAGGTAGGTAGATAGGTAGATAGATAGATAGATAGATAAAAAAAATAGATAAAGAAAAATAGATAAAGAAAAATAGATAAAGAAATATAGATAAAGAAAAATAGATAAAGAAAAATAGATAAAGAAAAATAGATAAACAAAAAAAATGAATAAATAAATAGATAGATAAATAAATAAATAAGTGTAACTCTCAAAAACGGAACGATTAAGATCACGAAGCAGAGGACAAGTCCCATACAGAATGATAGTTAACATCAAGTTATATCTCAGATTTCCAATGTTAATTTTCTGTTCTATCTATGATGCATTCCTAGCACTTTCATGGGAAGTTCTACCACTTGATCCCATTGAAACTACCCCCATTGAATCGCTACGATCCCACCTGGGCATCGCCAGCATTTCCGCTCCGCGGCTCCGCGCGGCTGCCGCATCTTTGCTGCGGCCGAGGGCTAAGAGATGTGGTTTCACCTGGCCCAACGACATGTGGTGACCCTTGGACAACTTGGGCATTTCAGATGGGAAACATATGGAAAATCATGGAACATGTGTATATATATATATTATAATTATATATATATATTATAATTATATATATATATATTATAATTATATATATATTATAATTATATATATATATATTATAATTATATATATATATACGCGTGTGTGTATGTAGAGTGGGAAATGTTGGTTCAACAAATGGAAATGGTGATTTTCAGCAACAAAAACTAGGCCGTCAAAACGAGGTTGTTTTAGCCAGCAAAAGCGGTGTTGGAACCAGAAGAAACGCAGGGTTGAATCCAATTCTGGCTGGTCACCTATGAATATAAATATCCAAAAACTGATAAATAAATTATATATATATTATATTCTATTAAAATTACAGTAACTAGCTACTAAATTTCTCACTTAAATCCTCTATGTTCATCGATCGGGTTCTGATTCCACTTGTCAATTCATCCCGCACCTTGGACGTCAGCTGCCGTCCCTCTGCCGGATCCGTGAAGCTTTGCGCCCAAATGACCTCGGAACATTGGGTTCGCATCATCGTGTCATATGTACACTATATATCTATATATGCATACATACACGCATATTATTTGTTCATAAATATACAAAAGAGCTTGCATATGTATATATATATATATTCAATATATTATATCTGTGTGTGTGTGTGTGTGTTTGTGTATGTGTGTGTGTCACGGTATACGTATTGATAAATGAAAAATAAATGGGTCGAGAGTGACCCCAAACAGAGGATATTACTGTTCTTCATCTGTTTTGTGGTTCTATACATCATCAGTTTGTTTGGCAGTTGATATGTCCAACAGTCTGTGTAGGGGTCATACTCCCACTGTTGACGCTTACGGCAACTCCCACTTTTCGTTGTTAATCCTGCAAGTAATAAGTTGTTACTGCTTCAAATCATGTGAAATCCCCAGTTGTCCTTCTTAAATCTAAATGTATCCCATGGATTTCTGAACAACTCTTTCCTCATTGTCCTATTTTTTTCGAATGGTTCCCAATTGTTTCCCATCGTTTACCGCTCCCAGCAACGCCCAGCGTGTTCCTCACTGCTCCGGGGATGTCTGCAGCCTGGAGATGGGTGTTACCCGGTGACAAAACGGCCTGGTAAACTAATACCAAAAAAATAGCAAAAACCTATGGAAAACCCACCATTTTTGATGGGTAGATCAACTTAGATCAACTTAGATCAACTATTTCTATGGCTATAGCGGCTATGTTCAATAGCTTCTGAAGTATGTTTACCAGAGGGTCATGTGGATATTAGGATATGATCAATGGGTTGGGATATGAATGAGATGCCCATTGGCCCATTCTCTCTCTGGATTTATGATCCAGAATTATAATGGGTATTCGGTTCGGTTCCATTGATCTCGGTAAAATTTGAACAGTTCACAAACCTAAAAAGTTCGGCTATTTTGGAATGGTTCCCCGAATCCTAACCATGATTGCAGTGAGGTCACAGTGAGGTCACTATAAATGTACCCAGAATTATTTATATAATAACTAATATCCATTATGCCACTCTATCCCGGTAAATATTGACACAATAATTAATGTCTTTTATTCCATTTCCCATGAATAATGAAAATGGTATCCCATCTTTTCCGTTGGTAATATATAGTGACGGACATATACTTAGAACATCAATTTTCCAAAATTTCGGAACCTTTTCTTCGAACATCAAAACAACTACACTTAGAACATCAGAAATGTTCTAAGTACGCACTTAGAACATCAGAAAAACAGATACTTAGAACATCTCCTTTGATTTTTGCATACTTAGAACATTAAACACACATATACTTAGAACATGTCCTGTTACTTTGGTAAATCTGCATATATACACACAAATACCTTGGTGAACACCATACTTAGAACACTTTCTCCCCTCACTGCTGCAGCATTCTATACCTTTTCTTCGGGAACAATATCCCAAGCAGTCTTCGCTGCAATGGGAAGGTCTCTAGTATATAATTTGTGGGTTTCCTACAGCGGGTAGTCAAAAAGCATAGGTTTCAATACTAAAATGAGCTAAAATTAATTATGCATAATTTTGAATGTTTTGGAGATGCCTCATTATTGGTTCCCCACTGGGATGTTCTAAGTATAGCTTGGAAATGTTCTAAGTATAGGTTTTGGGTATGTTCTAACGACTTAATACTTAGAACATCCCCGCTGTGACGATTTCAGATTTTTTTTCCAAATGATGTTCTAAGTATTTGTCCGTCGCTATAAACTATAATTCTTGTGATAATATAGCATCATGCTGATGGTAACGGTAATATCTTATGTAACATCATGAAGAGGGGAAAAAAACAATGGAAATATGGAAAAAAATAAAAATAAAAATGCACATGGGATGTAACAATACTTGTTATAGGGATATCACCAGTTTTCTAAGCCTTCTCCTGAGTTTCACAACGGGTTTTTCCGTCAGTCCCCCTGCGTCCTGGGCCAGCAATCGCTCCACCAACTCATCCGAGAGTTGTTGGAAGAGCCGGTGCTGTGAGCCTAGCAGCAACCAAAAAAAAGGTCGGGTTGAACCGAGGGAAACCTGGGAATTCCCCTGGATATGAAAATAGCGATGGCTGATTTATGGCTGATTTGTGGATTATTATCGTGGATGTTCATCCAACTAGCTGCTATCTATAGGTATTGATCCTTAGCCAAATAATCAAATGATATGCTAAATTGCTACGTGGTTGAATGCGAGATGTGTAGGTAACCGGTGAAGTGTGTAGGGGTTGAATGGCATGTTTTGAAATAGAATCTCTTGAATTTGGGGTTGGGTCTCAATACTGGGGAAGCCTACGATAAAATATAGCATATGAGTGTTCATTATATAAGCAGCTTAAAACTTAATCGTAAGTGTTGCTATTCGAGAGGTATATATTGCATATATAACCTTCAGCATGGCAGGAACCATAGGTGCACCAAGGATGCGATTTTGCTGAAATGCCACAAAAAATGGTTCCTAAACGTCCTAAACGTCGTGTTAAAGCACAGTGCGTTCACCCGATTTACAGGTTTATCCGGTAAATCTACATGTTTGGTGGTTCACTTTGTCCATTTTTGGTGGATTTCACGGTCAATCTTTGCTAGTCCACCAAAAATTGTTCATCATTTGCTGGTTCGATGTTCCAAAATCTTCCAAAGATGTCACAAAAACCTATACCATCTGGTTATGACTAACATAGCCATGGAAAATCCCAAAAAAATAAGTGGAGGTCTAGCAAACGCTGGGAAAATCATCTATTTCGACTAGGGCCATGGCTTAACCATGGCGATCTGTTAGTCATAACCAGAGACTCTAGGTGGATGAGATCCGATCCAAGCAACGATGTCGACCCGGTTGACCCGGCATCATGGCGGAGGCCCAAACCAGGTTGGACAGGCCCTGCCTCCGATTTCGGGACGGTGTCACCAAGAAATTTATGGGAAGTCAAGGCACAAAAATCTGAATTTCACCATGTTTAATAAGGATTAATGGTGAATAATGAACATATGATTAATGGTAATCGTTTATCATGGTGATTAATGATTAATCTTGGTGATTAATGACGATTTTTTTTTTGGAATTACCCTCCGGCAATCAAACGTGGCTGGTTGGGAAATCCCATATAAAGTGGTATTTAAATAGGAAAATCATCTATAAATAGTGAATTTTCCATTGCCATGGTTGATTACCGTAGGGTCTTCAACCTGCAAAAATGTCGTTTAAGCGCCAAATGTGTAGATTGGTTCAAAGCAAATCTGTGGATTTCATGGAATTTTACCAGCTTAGATGTGGCCTTTACCAACCAAAATATGCCTTTCAACAACCAACCATGCGGAATTGATCAAGAAGTACTGTAGCCGGATAAAAACAAACAACACATGAATCACGTCAGGGATTTGACCAACAAAGAATGAATTTAACCGGCATACTTGACCAGCACGAATGGCAAGGTAATCTGCACAAAACATCACCTTTTTTCTCGTGGTACCAACCGCTTATTTGGCCCAAAAATGGACTGAAACCGGCAAGGCGCAAATTGAATTCCACCATTCCTTGGCTTGTTGAATCCAGCATTTAAAAAACACAAAGATCTCTGCACGACAGCTACACCATGAAATGAAATTCAATGGTTCATATCATATCATATCATGTCATGTCATGTCATGTCATCCTTTTGATTTGGACCTTCTTCATTCTATCAAGTAACTACCTCAACTTCATTTGTGATATCAAAAATATCGAACCTCCTGGATTTTACCCCAACAGTATGTGCATTGATGTTTCTGTCTCAAATCACCTTCTTCTTCATATTTCCCTGCTCAAACTCACCACTTCTCCACAATTTTCCATCTAAAATATGTTCATACTTGACCCACATGTATTTTGGGGATAGTGAATGAGAGTTGTCGCCATCCCATTCCCATCATGTCCAGTGATGTCGTCACCAAATTTATCCAGAATATCGCATGATATCGCTTTACATCCATTTTTTTCGGCATTTTTTCCGGGATTAAGATCTTCAAGTAACCATTTCTCATGGTGAAATCCGTGTTTGTCCTGGTCAAACCTCCATTGTTCTTAGTCAAACCATTTTAGAACCCCATTTTTCTCAGTTACACGATGTTCAGCCCGCATTTTTCTTAATCAAACCATGTTAAAGCCTCATTTTTCCTATAGTCAAACCACGTTAACCCCCGGTGTTTTCATCGATTTTCGACCTGTTTTCCCATCCTTCCCCCAGCTTCCCGAGGTGTTTTGGCCACCGAGCCGCGCAGTTGCGCCTCCTCCGAAACGTCCAGCCATGGGGTGTCCACGCTGAGGGTCGCTAAGGACCAGGAGAAGTTGCACAAATTCCTCGGTGGCTGCCAAGGTCAGTTGGGGACTTCACCAGGGATTTTTTTCATGAGGAGATCATGAGCCAAGACACCACGGTGAGGTATTGAACCAACAAACTGGGACTTCAAGGAAGATGGAAAATTTAATGAGGAAATCATGAGATGAAGCACCAAAATATAACAAAATGGGAACTTCACCAAGATTTGTGGGGGATTTGAAAATCCTAATGAAATTATTTTTTGTGAATTCCTATATGGCTATTCTCATCTCAAAAAAAAGGAATAGCAAGTTATTGGGGACTTGATCAACTAGGATGTCATGAGATTAATATGATATCCCTAGTTTGTTTTAATGATGTTCCTAATTTAGTTGGTTAATGGGAACATTATCAACAATAGTGCGGATGTATGGTCGGTTTATAGTGGATTTCTGTTGGTTTGTGGTGTTGATCCATCCCCAGATCCATTGTTCTTAACCATTACTTAGAATTGGTTAATCCTACTTTGGGTGATTCTTTGGCTACTAACCATTACGAATCATTCTGAACCATGGCTAACAATCATTCTTGGTTATCCAATATTACACAATCAATATCAACCATTGTTCTTGACCCGTATTATTACCGTTCATCAAACCAACACAAACCCTGAACATAGACCATATTTCTCATAGTGGAAAGTAATCTTCCAACCCCGTATTGGGGGGGTTCTATGTTAATTTAGAGGAATGTAACCATTGACCGTTTTGCTACATTCCAGTAAGCTAACAATATAAAAATGTACAATTTGTAGATGAATTACCTATTGCCCGTAGAATAGTGGTTATTCCACAGTTGTGTAATAAATTGCCAGAGGGCAATCATTCTCAACCATGGTGAATAAGAATTCTTAGTTATGAACTGTTGTTAGTAACCAATATTTAAGCCATATATTAACCATTCATAGTTATATAGTTCAACCCAAAAAATGGATTGTTCAATACAAAGAATGACCCGTTCTGCGGGTCCATGTATCACGCATAGACATAGATGATTCACCAATTATAGCTGATTTACCCAGTTCACATGCTAATGTCCATAAATGACCCATATAACCATAATATATATATATATACATATACCCAGTAGCTATGGAAAATCACCTGAATAGGTAAACCAACTGTTAATGAACCATCTTCAATAGCGAACTCATAGTCATTACCAGAGGGTAAACATACCAAAAACATCAAAAAAAACATGGAAAGTCACCATGTTTCATGGGTAAATCAACTATTTTGATTGGGCCATTTATCTTCAATACGTCGTTTTTTCTATGTTGACCAGACTTTAAACCATGGTTACCCTCTGGTAAATTAACATAGACCCTGAAAATCACCAATTTTTAGAGGAAACTAATCTTCCAACCCCTATCTACCAGGGTCTATGTTAATTTACTGGGGGGTAAACCATGATGCTTCATCCCAAAAAAAATGGCTATTCCATGGCTATTCGACGTTCCGTCACCACCGAGCCGCTGCGTGGTGAACTCCTTCATCCGTCCGGAGGCTGAGGCCGCAAGCGCCGCGAAGAGCGGTGCCTGTTCGAGGCTCAGCTTCCTGGAGACAAAAAGAAGACTTTCAGTGGGAAAAACTTGGGAAAAACTTGGGAAAAACTGGGACAACTGTAGGAAAAACTTGGGAAAAACTGGGACAACTCTAGGAAAAACTTGGGAAAAACTGGGAAAACTCTAGGAACAACTTGGGAAAAACTTGGGAAAAACTGGGAAAACTCTAGGAACAACTTGGGAAAAACTTGAGAAAACTGGGAAACCATGGGAAAAACTTGGAAAATCGGAAAATGGAAAGAACCAAACTAATTGGGAAAACCATTGGTCACCGGAAAATGTGAAAACCATGGGAAAACTCATATATATCTCATATTGAGTTGCTTACATGCCAATTATATCCCCAGGATGTTCCCATTATATCCCCATTACTATCATGATCTATCATGTGGTCTTGAAATTCAAGTCGTATCCCCGAAAAAAACCGTTCGGAATATCGACACCAACTTTCCTCAGCCCATCGCTCCCCCAAACCACCTTTTACAAATTATAGCATTCAATCCGGCTAACCCCCATTCTATTCGCATATTCCTGTTGGTGTGGGTAAAACGATGCCATTTTTACCATCCATGACTGGAAATGGTTACACCACCTTTAAACATTGGGTCTGGGGGATGGTTTATGGCATTGTTTTACCCACATTTCTCTATATTTCCAATATATTCCCATCATAGTCCCAGTAGGTCGGATGATCATTTGGACCCCCCAAAGCCACTCATTTGGACCCCCCCATTTTAGGGGGCGAGAGGGAGGCGAGACGGGGCGAGAGGGGGGGTCCAAACGAATAGCTTTGGGAAGGGGGGGCGAGAGGGGGCGAGAGGGGGGGATGGGGGCGAGAGGGGGGCGAGAGGGGGCCAGAGGGTCAGAGGAAATTTTATCATGGGATACGACCCTTTAATTTTAGCTGGAAGCGGTTTGGATAGAACCTTGCTACCGTTAACAACTGTTTTGACCAAGCCAAACCACACAAGACTGATACACGTTCGGTACAGTTATGGACCTGTTAACCTGCGACAAGGCTGATGAAGCGCTCCTCTTTCTAAGTCTACTTTTCAACCACGGCCGCATAGGGCTGCGTCGCTTCTCCGTCTTCGCCATCCTCATGGGGAGCAAAGAAACCATGAAGACTGGCATGCAAGGATTGTGATAGATGAGAAGCAAGGATGACTCTTTTAGCATAATTTCCCAATCAAGACATCAAGATGACGCTGTTTGTTTGTCTCCAATGGTCTAATGACCCCAGGGAAAAGGAAATTGACTTTCCAAATGTCACATGACAGAGCCACAGCTTTGGTTGATAGGCTAGACGACAGTGAACTTCGGGTCCCAACTGGCAGCCATCACACTGCCACGCCTTCTTCTTCTTCTTCGCCTTCTTTTTCTCCATGCAGGACTTTCTGCACACCGTTCCTCGAGGCTGCCCAGTTGCCTTTCGCACGTAGAAGCTCTCAGCGTTCCGAGCGCATTTGCAAATTCGGCACTGCGTCAGCGTCTCCGAACAGCCAGACGGGTTCCGGACATGTCCGTCGGCGGCCTTCTTTACCTCCTGCTTTTTCTCTAGCACCTGGATCCTCTTCTCCAACTTCATCAATTGCTTCGCCTTAGCAGGCAGCATGCGCCTTCAATGGCACACCAGTTTGCAAAATTCTCTGCTCGTCCCCATCCACTTTCTACCGGAAGATGTGTGCTTATCTATCAAGGATGATGAATGCTACTCAGACAGGCTCAAATGAAACCAGCCACAGGCGCCAAAAAGACAACAGAGATAGGTTCGCTGTTCGCATCCTCCTCCTTCTCTTGTTCCTTCTTGCTTCCGCTGGCCTTCGACCGCTTTTTGCTTCTGCCCTATCGTGCAAGCACAGAGCGGGGGCAGGAATTTCCCGAGATAGAACACAAAGAGATGGCCTACAGGAAGATGATTGCTTTGCACGTCAGGATGCCTTGTTGCAAGTCGGTCTCCCTTTCCAGCTGCCCCTCTGACAATCTATCTATCGATCTATCTGCCTATTCTCCGTCCTGGAGAGCAGGTCAACTAACTGCGCCTCACCCACAGTAGATCCAACAGCCTCTTCAGATCCAACAGCTTCTTCACCCACGCCCTCCAGCAACATCCGGCAAGAGAGTGAAGGCGAGTGAAGTTGGGCGGGGGGGGCGAGAGGGGCGAGGTAGACGGGGTCAGCCGCATCAAACGCGCCCAAGCGCGCCACCCGACCCAGCCCAGTACCATCTGTGCCACGCCTGCCACACAAAAGCAGCGTGGATGTCACCTCCCCGCCTGCTCCAGAAAGGTGAATGGGAGCCAGAGAGAGGGACTAGAGGGGGCGAGAGGGGGCGAGAGGGGTGCCCACACAAGAGGGCACGACCACGCCAGACACACGTGACGTCAGTTGTCACGGTGAGCCACAGTAGCAATGTAGACATCAGAGCCGCGGCGGCAGCGACATCAACTGCACCCAAGCGCGCCACCAGAAAGCCCGGTGCCATGTGCGCCACACCTGCCACGCAAACGCAGCCTGGATGTCACCGAGTGCCACGCATGCCACAAGTGCATGGGAGCCAGAGGGATGGACTCGCGGGGGGCGAGAGGGGGCGAGACAGAGGCCATGGATAGGAGAGGGCAGGACCACGCCCGCTACGCTAAAGTTACGTCAGATGTCAAAAAGGGCCACAAAAGAAAGGCAAATGTCACCAGGTGCCATATCTGCGAAAGACGCAGTGCCATCTGTGCCACGCCTGCCGCGCAACAGCAGCGTGGATGTCACCTCCCCGCCTGCTGCAGAAAGGTGAATGGGAGCCAGAGTCAGGGACTAGAGGGGGGTGAGAGGGGGCGAGAGGGGTGCCCACACAAGAGGGCAGGACCACGCCCGCGAGGCCGCAGTGAAGTCAGTGCTACATTAGAAATGTAGATGTCAGACGCGCGGCGGCAGCGATCAACTGCACCCAACCGCGCCGCCAAAACCAGCTCGGTGCCATGACCCACGTCTGCCACACAAAAGCAACAGAGAAGGGAGGCCAGAAGGGGAGCGAGAGGGGGGCTCGGGGCGAGAGGGGGGCGAGAGGGTCAAGCATGCGGCGAGAGGGGGGGGCGACGAGGGGCGGCAGGGCGCGGGCAGGAAGAAGGGGGAGCGGGAGAGGGGGGTCGAAGAGGAGGAAAAGAGGGTGCGAGAGGGGAAGGCTAGAGGGCGAGGAGAAGGGGGGCGAGAGGGGTGGCAGCGGGGGCGAGAGGGGGGCGGAGTCCGAAGAGGGGGGCGAGGACGGGGCGTGGAGAGAGAGGGGGGGTCCAAAAGAGTGGCTTTGCGGAGGTTCCAAACAAGGCGTCGCCCGTCCTTGCTACTTATTGGTGCTAAACACAGGGAATTTTCGGGAATGATCCATAATCACTAGTAATAATCATCCCAGCAACCCCCAGCAACCCATCCATTCCCTACGTTTAGCACCAGTAAGGCTATTGGAATGCCCCACATTTCTGAGCTTGTCGAGGCGCGCAAAAGCCCAGGCAATGTTGGAGATCTCCTGGGCCTAGCACCGTCAAAGCAGAAAATCTCTGGCTGGAATTATAACGTTGCAGTTAGTGCTACTAATAATGCAAAAACCTATTAGTGTAATTCCTGAATGTGTTATTATGATTGTAACAATATTGTAGATAAGTAGTCTTATTGATAGTGTTAAAAAGTTGTTGTGGTTAATAGTGCGGTATTATCATCACCTGTTTTACAACACTATTAGAAACGATGATGATCATCATGAAATAACAATACTAATCATGATAATCTTTAGAACCCCCAAAAAAAACGATAATGATGTGACAATGGTATTTACGGTATTGGTAATAATAGATGTAAGAATAATGACAACAATCATTCGCCAACCTAAAAAACTTTGTCCATTTTGGGGTCAGCTATAAGTGTCAGCCATGGGGTGAGCCCAAGTGATCAACCGGGGGTGAATCCTGGGGGTTCGGTGCCCTATCAGACCTGACAATCCAAGCTGCGAAAAACCGAGCCTAACCCGCTGGTATATATTATGGTTATATTGTCATTTATGGGCATTTCCAAAGATCCCCGGAGATCAACCTAACAACCGAACTGGGGATTTATGGGGGATTATCCCAGATCATTTTCCATAAATAATAGTGGGATAATTAGGATTATGTGGGATGATGGGATAATTATGGAGGATTATCCCAGATAATTATCCCATCATCCCACTATTCTCCCACTATTCGCCCAGTTTCCACTAACCGACCCACCATGACCCACCTTAAAGCTCTCCGGCGCTTGCAGCTTCTCTGTGGCGCTACGGGCCACCGCGCCCAGGACGTCTTCCAGCCGCTTCCTGTGGTTTAACGGTTTTAAGCTGTTTTAACCCAGAAAAACTAGGGATCTTAATGGGATTTAATGGTAATTTAATGGGATTTAATGGTGATTTAATGGGATTGAGTGGTGACTTAATGGTGATTTAATGGGATTTAATGGTGGTTTAATGGATTTTAATCGTGATATATCCTCCGGTTAAACGTGGCTGGCTCCAAAATCCCCGAATTTAATGGAAGTCTTAAAGGAAAAAAGCATCTATAAATGTTGGACTTGCCATTGCCACGTTTGATGATCAGAGGGTAACCAAGAATATATCTGGATGATGATGATGGTGATATTTTGATTATCTAACCATGAACAATGGTGATGTAACAATGGTTGTTTTTTTGTGGTGCTTTACTGGGGATTGAATCCATACACATGATGGATTGGGATATCAAGCAAAATATAACCAGCTAGAGATGCAGTGAGATTATTCAGGGAGATCGTGGAACATAATGAGATTGGCACTTTTTTGGGGGATATTCCGCGAGACTTCATCCTCTGGAATGGGCATCAAACGGGTAGATTAAAGGTGCTATAATAATATAGGGATTTCGTAGAGTTTATCACCTGCCAGAATGAAAAGTTGGATGGGATTAACCCATTTATTGGCAAATGGTCATCCATTGATAGGGGCTCATGTCCCCAGAAAATATCATACAGAAATCATCAGAGTTCTGATAATAGTAAAACAAATATATAATTCTGCTTGAATTTTAATACTTCACCAACCTGAAAACAGCCCAAATGTTGAGCCCTGGGGGTGATTCCCCTTACTAAGCCTTACTATCTATAGAGTTGCCATGTCTGGACCACGGCGCAACGACCCGTCCTCACTTCCTCCTCGTGTCGCAGGCGACTAATGCGTCCCACGGGCATTGGTACCGCTGCTGTGGCATAACCGCTGCTGTGGCATAAGCCTTGGAGAACCAAAAAAAGGGGACCCCATGGAACCAAAATCCGTTGCTGGATCCTCACTCTCCCCATTCTGTCTGGCTATGGCTATAAATGAGGGAAGCCTATGTTCAGACAGATTCCCCTATTTCTGTTCTTCGAATCCCATATCTTCAGTAATCATGTCTCCTTTTTGATGGCCAATCCTGGATACCAGGCCCAAGAAAAAAGTACTCCCCATTTTTTGGGGGCTAAAATCCGAATCCCAAGTTTTGTGGTGAAGTTCCCCTCTTTTCTGGTTGATTCCTTAGCTTCCCATCTTTCTGCCTGAATCTTGGTATCTAATCTGAAGAGTTCGGCCATGCAATGATTGCCCCCAACCCTATAGTAACCCCAAAAATAAGATAGAACAGTATGTTCTCACCATTATTAACGTAGGATTTTACTATTTGCTATCTTTTTGAGTGTTGCTAGAGCCTCCTCCGGTAAACTAACATAGCTATGGAAAGTCACCATTTTCCATAGCAAAATCAACCATAGATGGGCCATGTTCAATAGCAAACTGTTAAATTGCCAGGGGCGTAAACACCCATTAATCACCATGAATCACCATTGGTCACCATCCTCAAACATTGTAAAGCCCTATTATCAACCATTATACTTAATTATAATATTGGAACCCAATTTTTTAAAAAAACAAAACATACTGTGGATAGTTGCAAAATCCTGCACCACCAAAAGGATGGTTGAAACATGTTGAAACCCTATGAAAAATTGGATAAACCGTTTCAACCACCCATCAACTGCAGGATTTCGCCACCAAGTCTCCCATGCCACGTTGCTGAGCCCTTGGGGCGTCAGGCCGTCGCTGTCCTGGGCCACCAACAAGGACAGCTGCCGCAGCAGCTCATCGAACTCGACAGCTTCCAGGCCTCCGGTGGTTCCTCGCCGTGGAAAATGGCCCGTTTATAGTGAGTTGTCCCATTAAAACCTCTATGTATAAGGGATTTTCCATGGCTATGTTAAATAACCAGATGGTATATCAACCATCCACTGATGAACCATTCAACATCGATGATCAATCATGGGCGAATCAGTGATAAGAATGGGTTCTTGATGGGATATTTCATGGCATCACCTCATGAAAAATTCCGGGAAATGATACATGAGATAATCATGAACCTATCCAAATGCATGAAAATTTGGGGAGAACTTAAAAATTCACCTAAGGGGGCGGCGTTTTCGGAATCATGTAGATGTTTGGATTTGGATGATTCTGGGATGTTCATCCCCCAGCATCCCCCATATGCTACTACCTTTGGCTTATCCCCTAATCAAAGCTCCCGAAAAAGCCATCTGGGCCATTCTTGGTGGAATCTCCAGTATCCCATGAAGGTGGTGAAATTAACGTTAAATCATCATGATACGTGCGCTTAAAATCCCCACTTCAAGTCACATGTTTCTTGGTTGAGTTGCCATTCTAATGGGTAAACCATTGTGTCCCCGCAGCCTCTCGTGGCCTGCCGACTTCGAAAACGTCCCCAGCCGCGCCACAGCCCAGGCGGAATTCGAGAGGTCCTCCCAAGGGCCCAAGGGTTGGTAACACAGAGGAAACCAACATATAAATATATAGATTCTTGGTGTAACATCCATGTAATCATCAATAGTCATAATGACCTCAGTGTAACATCAATACAATATTTTAGTGAGTTACAATAATTCACTAATCTAAGGTCACACTGAGGTCATTCTACTTCAGATATGTATACACATATAGAGAGAGAGAGAGAGAAAGATATTGGGAATATCACAGGTACTGAAATGAATATGTGATCTAAGATATTGAAATGTATTGGGAAGATATAAGATATCAGGATTACATATATTAGATTATAGCAACCCTAACCTGGAAATGGTGGAGTAAACGAATCATCGATGTTAACATCCTCTCTCTCTCTCTCTCACCTTTTTCGTCATCTTTTTGGTGGGAAAAAGAACACCTTTCTGGCGATATGTTCCAAAAAGAGTGATTCAAAATACTGACCCAAAAGCCTGTTCGGATTCTCTTGACACGGATTCTTTTGATACACTTCGGATAGGTAGAAAGGGCCACCTTCGCCAGTGACTTCTGAGAAAAGCGTGCCGGTGAAATCTTTCAAAATCTGCATTCTTTGTTGGTTCAATCCACATCGTTGTTGCTTAAGATCCTAAGGTTTCCCGCTGAAATCACAATGTTTGCCCCATTTTTTCGACCAAAACTTCCACCTTAGGTCATTAAATCCCTGATTGGTGGCGTAAGGAATGTCTATAAATCCATATAAATCCACATCTCATGTGTTCTTGCTTGAATATCCTCCTTTCTATTAACTAAATTCCCTGATTGGGGGGTGTCAACCCGTCCCAAAAGAGTTGCTCATCATCCCAAGCATGTGATATGGCTAAAAATAGAATCTACCCTCCGGAAATCAAACATGGCAATTGGAAATCCACTAGAAATGGGGCTTTCAATCGGAAAACCACCCCACACAAATCGTGCATCTTCCAGCACGCCATGTTTTTTCTGATCGGTATTTCACACCACCCGGCCGGCCATTTTTGTGGGTGAAAAACACTGGTTCAAGTCCTGAAATCCCAATGGTTAGCCCGTTAAACCCCCACTACTGGTCAATATGATAGTGTCATAGAATAATGGTCTAAGAATAATGACATAGATAATATTCATAGAATAATGTCATAGTGTCATAGTCATAGTGTCATAATACCGTGTCACTACTATGTTATAAAATAATGATGGTATTATTGGTATCATATGTCCCAATCTCATCTGACCAATGTGTGTCTATCATATGCCACCAGTCAACTAACATTGGCTGTGGAAAAGTGATGAAAAGTGCCATAGGTTTCCACCTTTATTACTCTTGAAACAGATGGTGATGCTCATTGATGTTCCATAGCTAACTATCTTAAATGACCAGGGGGTAACTGGGATGTCATCCCATCCAATATGGTCCTTTTAGGGGTTGGTATAGTGTTTGTTATCATCTACTGGTTGTTGAATGGGGAGAAGCCTCTATGAACCAACGGGAAAAGGACATCTATGGTCCCATCCCAAGTAACCATGGTGATCGTAAGTCCCCAATTCGTGGGCTATCCCATATATATATATTATATATATATACATATACATCTATATATACATATATATATAGTATGTATATATATATACATATACATACATACATATCTATATATATACATATATATGTGTGTGTGTGTGAATGGTTTACGCTCTGCTGATCAAGCATGGTTTGCTGGAGTATCATCTCATTTAGAGTTTCCCAACTAGAAACCTTCATTTATAATCTATGTTCCTTTGTGTTCCCATGGTTTTCCCATTTAAAACCACCAATTGACATAGGATTCTCTATTGCCATCTTTCCCAAAGGATCTACCCTCTGGTAACATACAAAAAGCTATGGAAAATCACCATCTTTAATAGCTAAATCATGGCAAATCCACTATAAATGGACCATTTTCAATAGCAAACTGTTAAATTCCCAATGGATCTACTGCTCCTGGTGATTGGCCCGCGATGGCTCCGCTTGCAGAAGCCGACTCAGACGCTGGGCCACCCGCATGGCCAGTGGCAGATGTGGGACGCTGAGCTCTTCCTGGCAGGGCCGTGGTCGCGCCAGAGTTTCGTGGGAAATCGTGGGAAAATCACCCTTTGATCAGTGAATATATATATATATATGTATAGATATATATATATATTGATGGTTATATAAAATGTGTGGTATCTATGGTTAATGTCATCTTAAACCCCCATATTTATCCACCCAGGTGGGTTTGAAGATGCTTGAATTTCCCTACTTTGTGGCTTTTATCATTGCATATGCCGGCGGAAAGAAAGAAAACGGCCCTAGACTAGATTACCTAGATTGAACATGATGGGGTTTTGCTATCCCAAGCGGAAATCCACCTGAGGGGCATGGCCTGAACCCGATTAGCCCAAGAGTAAGCTCCCATGGGCAACATTCCCCAGTAACTTTGAGATGACCTCTGATGTCATTGTGATTCGAAAGTGGACATTACCCTCCATGCACCGAAGTGAGCCAACCAAAGAAAAAAAGTGTTGTAATTGGTTTTATGGAGCTGCCTCCTTCATGAATGAACCACGGAGAAAAAAACATCTACAGCATATTGATCCCTATGCAGGGTGGCACCCCCCGTTTATACATTGGTTTATAATCCCCAATCACTATAGATATAATTCACATAAACATGATTATTAGAAAAATAATCACATTCTAGGTGAATCATATAAAACTATATCCAATCACTATATATAGTTGGTTTATAAAACCTAGTTATTGGAGTTATAAACCAACTTTGCTTATTGGGCACCCGTTTTTGGTGACCCTTTGGCCATCGGTCAATTTTTTGGGATTCCGGCGGTCCAGATGTGCAAGCGCCAGAAGGATGTTGCCTCGGTGGCATGGCATTGCTTTTTGACCAACACAGTGATGACTTTCTGTATTTAAATATATACCAAACAAATAGACACCCACACACTTGCTCAGAAACATCTTATCGAATTACTGATGTGGAATGCATCGCACGTGCAAAAACACTTCAGTTAAACCTGACAGGAATGGTTTGATGATTGGAAGTGAGAAACTGTGCGAGGAAATCTTTCTACGTCCTTGCTCGAAGGATTTACTTGTTCTGATGCAGCTCAGTCAGATTGCGAAAACCGTACAGTAGTTTGAAAACTGTTGGAAAAACGACATGCCGGTTCTTGGCTTAGCCGGTTGCCATTGACGAAAAACTGGAAAATTGCAGGTACGTTTTCACAGGAACATTGCAGCGTCTTCGTTGGCCGCTGACTGCAATGTTCCCCAGCGGCCCCCTGCTAAGTTAGAAGTTTTACATCTTTACAGATGGTTCACACACACTCCCTCCCGCAGGAGGGTGGGAAATTAAGGTCCCGACAATGAGATGAAAATGAAGAGGAAGGGAAATGAAGATGAGGTGAAGATGACAATGAGATGAAAGTTACTTAACCAGGACGCAAAGAGGGGAACGCAAAAGAAGAGGGAAAGAGAAAACACCAACACATGAAACCTAGCCCGCAACGGGAAACCCTGGAAAGGCAAGGAAAAAGAAAAGCGGAGGCCGACGGAAACCGGAACAAGACCAGCGGAGGAGGGGGAAGACAGAAGCGCCTGAACCAACCTGACACGGCGAAAACCTACATCAACCTCAGCACGCAACGGGCCAAACCTACCTGGAGAGAGGAGAACGCAAGAACACATGAAATAGGGACCCATGGGGAACTAGTTGATGACATGATGCATCCACAACGCATGCAGAATTCGTGATAAGGCTCAAAGGCCCTCGGCATTCAAGTCACAACCCTCTGGACGGCTTACATGTTCAACCCCTGAATTAGGTGCACAATTTCAACTCAACCTCACCAAGAAACCAAAAAAGAAAGATACCACACCTTGAAAGCATGTCCTGTTACCTGATCATGTGTAAATGGCTGCGGAGTGGCTGTCTCTTGAAACAACAGGAAGGTTGTTGTCGCGGCTTAAGACTATGCATTGGCTGTCCAATGAAAATGGTGAGGCCAGGAAAAGCGGCCAGCTGTTCAACACATCGACATCGACAAATGAGAAAAGGAAAAGGGTGAGGCCAAGCACAGCGGCCAGCGGTTCAACACAACGACATCGACGGGTGAGACAAGGAAAAAAGGCCGGCTGTTCACTTTACTTAAACGAATTACTAATTCAAAAGTGTAAATTCAGACATCGTTTTACCGTCAATTGTTAGCCTAGAAAGGCTTTCCCCGAAGGGCTCATACCACCTTGACGGATATCGGCATGAGTGACACACTTGCTCAGAAACATCTTATCGAATTACTGATGTGGAATGCATCGCACGTGCAAAAACACTTCAGTTAAACCTGACAGGAATGGTTTGATGATTGGAAGTGAGAAACTGTGCGAGGAAATCTTTCTACGTCCTTGCTCGAAGGATTTACTTGTTCTGATGCAGCTCAGTCAGATTGCGAAAACCGTACAGTAGTTTGAAAACTGTTGGAAAAACGACATGCCGGTTCTTGGCTTAGCCGGTTGCCATTGACGAAAAACTGGAAAATTGCAGGCAAATTGCAGGTACGTTTTCACAGGAACATTGCAGCGTCTTCGTTGGCCGCTGACTGCAATGTTCCCCAGCGGCCCCCTGCTAAGTTAGAAGTTTTACATCTTTACAGATGGTTCACACACACACATATATATATATAATTCATACATAGACATACATGTGCATTTCCAAATATGTTGGCCCGAATAGAAATTGGGAACTTACCAGGAGAAGTTGGCGGTGATTGCTTTCAATCAGAAACTTGTTCCTGGCGTGTCTGGGAAAGATGTGCAGCAATCACACCAATTGTGACATAAAGAGTTGGCTTTCATCTATATGGATAAATGATGTCACGATTCACCAACATGAAAAGTTCGGCCAGTTGCGGATGATTCATTTCCAGTGACATCGTGCTGTTTGCCAAGCCACTCCTTGGGGAAACCAACAACTTACAGTACTTGGGTGATTCCCCGCTATCCGTCATTGGCCATCATCAAAAAACAGTCATTAGGGACCCCAATTCGTTTGTTTGAAGAAAAATTGATGGAAACTCTTATATACAGTACATGTAATGTGTCTATATATATATATGTGTGTGTGTGTATGCGTGTGTGCGCGTATGTGTAAACAGAAATATAGATATATGCATGTGTGTGTGCATTTATCTGTTCATCTATCTATTTATCTATTTGTTTATTTGTTTATCGATGTGTTTATTTATCTATTTATGTAGTTCTCTCTCTCTCTCTCTTTGCTTGTTTCTTCCCCGGTGTTGCTGGTATTGTTGGTGAAATCCCAATCATTGTTTGCAATTTCCCGTTGCCATTGGTTGCTGTAATTCCCCTTTATATACATATATATATATTATTGCTTCATGTAGTTATCTGTTGTTGTGGGTTAGTTCCCTATTGCTAATCACTAACATTGGTTTCAAAAATAACCACTAGATACTATCGGTAAGAATAACCTAGACATCCTTAAAAACATAATTCCTGGTGGATAAGCTCACAACTTTCTTCGGTCAACATGCTCTACGGCGCTGCGTTCAATTTCCGATGAACGTTGGCACAACTCACCATGTTCCGTGAAAATCATCAAGCAGTTTTGGTCAACATCCCCGATGTTTCAATGGACTGGTTTAACGAAAAAAATGACACCAGAACCTCCCAATATGTTGATGTGAAAAAAAGATATATATTTTCCAATGGACTGGTTTCCGATATGTTATGTTATTCAGATGGGAAACCACTATGGTTTCCCAACATGTTTTGTCATTAAAAATATGGGATTTTTACCATGGAATCACCCATTGGATTGCTCAAATCCCAGCGGCTCAAGCCGCGCAAGGGCACGTCCTCCAGGTGCGTCTCCACCAAGCTGAGGACCTCCTGCGAAACTCATGGGATTTGCTGTTGAAAAATAGATGTGTTGAGGGATTAGCTATATTCTATCTATCTATCTATCTATCTATCTATCTATTTATCTATCTATCTATCTATCTATATCTATATCTATATATATTTATCTATATCTATATCTATATCTATATATATTTATCTATATCTATATCTATATCTATATCTATCTGTGTGTGTGTGTTTATTTGTTTATGTCATCTATGTATTGGTCGATTGATTGAATGATTGATGGATGGCTTGATGGAGTGATAGATTGATGGATTGATGAATTGATTGATTGATTGATTTCATAAATGATTTCTGTTTCGGTATCTATATCTATATGTGTATGTATATGTATATGTGATATGTGGTATACGATTTTTGATATATAATATGTGATATATGATATATTATATGATGTGTTGTATATGATGTATGACATATCTGTTGATGAATTGGATACGTTACGTGGATAATCCCTAAAAATAATATATCTTGGACTGTCATGGATATACATACATATGTATATGATATGTATATAAATAATGAGAGAGAGATATATATATATATACATATATATACATACAACAATGTATATAATGTATATGTACATGTGCACTATACTATAAACAGTGCCACATTTTTCATGGATGTTTCGATTTTGTGCAAACTGCCCTCAGAACATGTAATTATTGATGCGTTTGAACGATACAACGACTCGGAGGTTTCCCGCATGGTCTCTCAATTACCAGGGTTTTTACCCCACTATCCTCCAAGGCTTCCCAGGTCCCTGATCGAGAAAAAACATCTTAGAAATGATTGCCCCACTCAACAAAGAGTTACTTTGATTTGTTAGTGGCTTGCAACATCTTACAACCCCACTATCTTATTAAAAAGAAAGATGCATTTCTTGGTGATGTGATGATTCTCCCCATCATCACAGCGAGGTCCTGAAGGTCCTTCGCTCCGTGTATGCCATGTGCAGCAGGTAACTTGCTGATCCTGGCAATGTCTGGGGGTCAGGTTATTCGGGCACCGTTTTGGACCCACGGAGGTTCGTCATGTTTGGCGCTAAAAAACAATGGAAAATCCCTTGTAAATGGACGTTTTAGTGGGAAAAGCATCTGTAAATTGGGGATTTTCATGGATTTTTCATTGCCAGGGTAACCATCCATATTTTGGTGCCTGTATATGTTTGTCGTACCCATCATACAGTACATGGCAGCTAAACTGCCAACAAAAATGTGCGCGTGGGCCGCTTTGAGCCATCTCTATCTGGAAAATTCGAAGCCCCTCTGACACCCTGCGAGGAGAATCCGGGCCCTTGGGTGATTTCGCGGAAGGTTCCACTTCGATCTTGGTTCAGGACATATCCCAGCTACAAATCCCAAAGAAATGCCTTGTTGCCAACACAGAGGTATCATCGCCCATGACGTAAGGCGCAGATCGTTTATCACTGTTTCAATGCTTTTGTCTCAGGGAAATTCAGGAACATCCCATATTTTTATTTGAAAAAACCATGGTTTTCCTATGTTTTCCCATGTGTTTCCTATGTTTTCCTATAAGTTTGCCTTTAAAATCGACTCTTGAAAAGCCGATCGACCTCCATAGGCTGGTCACCGCATGGATCCCGTCAAATCTGGACCTAGGAAGTCTCCACAACAGTCATGTATGCACATGTACATGTACATGTACATGAACATGTATACGTATGTGTATATATATATATATATGTGTGTGTGTATGTATATGTATATGTACATGAACATGTATATGTATATGTATATGTGTGGGTGTATGCATGCATCTATGCATATGTGTATATACATAATATGCACATACATTTGCATAGCTATGTATATATAGACACAATGTTGACCATGTCAGCCCAGCGAAAAAAGTGCCGCGGGTATGAGAATGAGAACCATATCTAGCATCCTTTTAAGCCAAGTGTTGTTTTGATCATTCCGGGATCTTGTCGTCGTCTGGAAAAAATATGGTGTTGTCGTTGTCCCAAAATAACCCTAGAATCCCAGTGAACCCAGTGGCTTGAAACTTGTCAAACCTCGTTGTTCACCATCAAAATTGCCATCTAGCAAATCTAGCAACCCAAAAATCGATTCATCTTCCCAAGCGTCCAACTCTTGAAAAGGTCGGAAACGTAGTATGAACTCAAGTAGCTCAAGTAACTAAACATCATTCATCCCATCCATCCCATCTATTAACAAAAACAAGACCTGGTTCCATCCCTTCTGCGGCGGAACTGATGCGCACGAAGAATCTTGATGACTTCCGTCGAGCTGGAGGCCTGTTGGATCAACAGGGTCAATTCCTTGGAGCCGAAGGGCTGCAGTTTTTGGGCGCTTGAACAGAAGCCGGACAGCCGGACAGCCAATATACCCTCTGGTAAACTAACATAGCTATTGAAAATGGCAATTTATAGTGGGTTTTCCCATTAAAAAAGGTGATTTTCCATAGTTATGTTAGTTTACCAGAGGGTAAATTCTATTGGCTGGGGGTCAACCAATCATAGCAGGGGGATAAAACGCCATTTGAGGGTGTTTAACAATGCCATGTTTACGAAGTCTAGGGTAAAACAAGGCCATGTTTACCACCCATTTGAGAATGGTTCAAAAACCGCCGATTTATGGTGGTTTATTGGGGGTGGTTTATTGTTTTACCAACATTTTTTACTGTAATTTACTATAGGCCCCATTGCCAAGGGATCCTGCAAAATCCTCAAGCCGCCCAGGCACTTTCTTGGAAGGCCTCCTGCAATCCCAAGGAACCATGTGATTCATCTAGAATCTAGACCATGTACCCCCCAAAACAATCCTGGCAAAAAAAAACATACGACTATGTATGCTTTAAAGGATTGGATTTCCCATTGCCAGATTACCAAAGGGTCTGCCATGAAATGCATCATCCCAGCCAGTAGTGATGTCATACACACGGGGGGGTTCCTAAAATGGGGGGTACCCCAATTTTAGGAAACCTCCACATACATAATTATATATATAGTTATATATATATATAATTATTAATCGTATCCAAGTGGGCATGGCTTGTACAAACCACCGGCACTCCTGGCCCGCTGTAGAGGTGCCCAGCGCGTGCACGTGGAAAACATGGCGCGGGACCATCGTGGGCGGCGGCTTCGCCAAAACGTTTCACCATGGCCGTGGGAAATTTGTAGAAAAAACGCACGAGAATCCACAGAAAATCCAATCATACATGGAATATCCGATGTCTAAAATGTTCTGGGAGACATCATCTTCACATTTTCAGAATGCTTCACTGCCATAGTAGATATTTCCAAAGGGGTCTGAGAGCATTCGATGGTCCTCCCCACTGCCATAGGTGGATTCTGGCGGCCAGATTTCTTCAGTTTATATCATGGTTGCCTTGCCTCGATGTTTTTCGCATGGTCAGAAGTTTGTATTTTCATCGTTGTCCCCGTGCTGGTCGATGCTATTCACCTTGCTTTCTCTATAGTCATGCCAAAAAAGTAGAAAAGTAAATCCCCATTTAAATAGTGAAGATTATATACCCTCTGGTTATTTAACATAGCCATGGAAAAAGGCCCATTTATAGATGGTTTACCTATAAAAAATCGTGATTTTCCATGGCTATGTAACAAATTACCAGAGGGTAACTTTTCGGCATCATTGTGGGGGTTCCTTTTTGGTTCCTTCACACTTTTCTGTGGGTCGAGCCGTTGTTTCACCCGCATGAATTGTTGTTTCTTTCCTGGTGCTGTTCGAGCCACTGTTTTTTTTACCATAGGATTCCTGTACTTGGATGGATTAAAGGACTGCATTACATGTTATATGACATATGAATATAACACGTATTTATAGGTATACTAACAAAAAAATAAGATAGAAGAGGTGTTATTTTATCACTTTATTTTGCTATCTTCTTGGGGGTTCGTATATACATACCGCAACCCCTAAAATAGATGCCAAAAGGTGCAAAGCCTAAGTATATAACTAGATATTTAAGTCAATATATCATCTATAATTCAAACATCCTTTCATTTGACATGTCATATATGTTCGAACTATACCATCTAATATATATCATTATAGCAAAGATGCCGTTCATCTATATACCATGTATATATATATATATCATCTATCATATCATATCTATATATAATGTCTATATATAAATATCTATAAATCACATATTATATACATCATCCATGTATCATCTATATGTTTCACACATTCTCACACCATCAGCAGGTCCTCTTTTTTGGATTTTTTTGGGGTGGCCATCTAAGGCACAACGGCGCGACCTGCTCGGCCAAGCGGAAGAGCACCAGAGCAAACTCACCGCCCGGCGCCAGCAGCGCGGAGGCCTGGCCGGAGACCATGGGAGACCATGGGAAGACCATGGGTTGGTGGTGAATGGTGGTGAATGATGATTGAACGGCTTGAAAAAAATGATGGAAAACCAAGAAAAAACTATGGATGTTAATGGGTTTTGTTGATGGGATGTAATAGGATGTTGATGGGATGAAATTGGGGATTTAATGCTGATTTTAATGGGATATGATGGAATATTTGGACGATTTGTTCCTTTCGATATTCATATTATGAGAAACGATGGCATGAAATGGAGGTGTACAGTGCTTAACTATGGTTAATAATGATTGATAATGATCAATGATTAATGGCTAATGTGGTAATCCAACAGTAGACCATAAAATGAGGCGTAGATACCATACCCAAGTGGTAGGTTTCTGATCGGGTTCACCGACTCAGATATGGAAAAAAAAAACTGGGATGAACTCGCCAAAATGGGGGATTGAACCATGAAAAATTGGGGATGTGAAACCATGGTATAGTAGTATAGTCATGGTATAGGATGGTTTATGATGGTGAAAGTGTTTTTTTTCATGTTTTTATCATTTGGGTTTTCTCAAAGGCTTGGTTCATGGCACAATGACTGATTGTTTATTACGGTACCGGTAATGATATGGGCTTTTTGACATGGTTGATTCATGTCATTTTGCTAGGGGATTTCATCATTTGGCTGATTTATTGCTGAGTTCCATTGGTGTTGGATTTCAGATTTTCTCTCTGCTTGATGTGTGGTTGATTTACCTGGGGATGGTTGATTTTGGCCCCAAAAAAAGACCTCCAGGCGGAAAGTCACCAAAAAAAAACTCTTGGCCGGGCTTATTGTGATTTGTGGTTATTAGTCACTAATAAGGATGGGATAGATGATAATAGTATGGCCTTAAGAGTCTTATTGTGGTTTAATGTGGTTGATTATGCTTTATGGTGAATCATTTTGAATTATGGTTTTAATCATGCAGTCTTTTTTGGGCATCGTGGGGGCAAAAAGTTGGGATCATTAGGATGATCATGGGATTCACAATGGATTCAAAAAGTCGTGAGGCACGCCAAAAAAGGGATGAGTTTCTATGAAAACATGGTACCCCCCAATGAACAACAGTCTAGGGGTATTTTTCAAACCTGGGTTGAGATGACATTGTGGTAAACCCAATGAATTTGACATCTAGTTATCAATGTCTCTTTCTAACCCACCCCAATTTGCCGTGATACAAAAGCTGATGCGTAATTTGATGATTGTTTTTTCTATGCCCCCTTCCATTTCTGGCAACTCAGTGGGGTAAATGAGTCATCCTTGATAACGGTTTATACATGGCCTCGGGTTTCCTGTGCCGTGATAGCAGTGGAATGAAACCCCCCTGACTAAATCTCCAAGTCATCACCATTTTTATGGATATAACTGGTTGCTTTGTGAACACCATCCCCAAGGTCATGGTAAGTGGCCAGGGTTGCCCACATTTGTCACATATATTTCACTAGGCTGCACCCTCTTACGGTCGGCTGGAGCCTGCACAGAGGACGCGAAAGAGAGGCCACCAGAACGTTTCACCAGAATCACCACGCCCGACTGCATCGATGGAGGTGAGAGCTGGTGTCGATTGTCGGTTTGTGAATATGAAATTAGCTGGTTATAGATAACTTCTACCGACTTTTTGAGTGAACGATGGTTCATATTAGATGCGAAACAATAGACCACTAGATCACATACGCATAATATACCTGTGTGTGTGTGTTTGTATGTTTGTGAAAAATGTGAAACAATAGTTAGACCCATTCGGCTCCCAGTCGTGACTTCGCGAAAGGCTCCACCTTTAGGACCAGTAAGCCCACCAGCAGCGGCATCACGGTGAACCAGTGATTGGTCTCAGCGTGGAACCCGGAAAGCGAACCCGGGGGAAACCCCAATTGGCCAAACCAAGGGCAAGCCCCAGCTGCAAACAAACTTATAAAGAGTGGGCGTGTTTCTAGGTGTTTCTTGTTGGTTTGTTTTGAGGTTGACTGGATTTATTGGATGATTCTTGAGAAACTTGAAACGGAAGTTGTGCTACGATGTTTCGGTTTCTTGGATTCACTTCTTTGTGCATCTGTCTTTTGCTACTCACTCGCAGCGCCACAAGGGCACAAGTCCTGCATGGGATTTCCCACAATGGACTAATCAAACATGGCTGGGAAATCCAGCCTTGATTCATGATGACTTCCCCGTTGCAATAAAACCTCTACCTCTGGTAATGACTAGCAGTTTGCTATTGAAAATGGCCATAGAAATAGTTGATTTACCCATTATCAATGCCGATGTTCCATGTTTTTCCGATTAACAATTGTGATTTTCCATAGTTATGTCAGTTTACCAGAGAGTATATTTAGCTCGGAGATGTCCCAGCCGTCCCAGCCATGCTTGATGACACCAAGGTCCGAGCGATGAGTTGCACGTCGAAGGAGAAACCCACTGTCACCTGGGGGAAGATCCTGGGGAAAATCATGGGACATCACCATTTTTTAATACCCTCTGGTAATTTAACATAGCTATGGAAAATCACCGTTTTTGATGGGAAAACTCACTATAAATGGTCATTTTCAATAGCTACGTTAAATTACCAGAGGGCAATAGATAAATCAACTGAATCAACTATAAATGCCCGGCAGTTCAATAGCTATGTTCAATCACCAAAGGATGTTTTTTCGTCATGCGATGGTATGATGCTACTTTGGGGGAGCATTTTGGAGATCGAAATTCGTCCGAGGCATGCCCATGAAAGGGAACATCCCTTTACACAAATGGTAGTGGCACAACATGTGCATTCTAGTCTGCTGGTTGCGCCATGGAACTTGTGTGTAGATAGACCGGTCCATAACAACAGTTGGCAATGTGAGAGGGTCAACCCTCATGCTTGGTGAAAAAACAACACACGGCCGGACACGGCCGATTGCGGGGTATGAAACAAACACACTCAGAGGGGACGGATATGAAGTTGCGGATCCAAAGGATGAAATTCCCCTAGCAATGAAACCTGGCAGCCATGGCAATCAAGCGGATGATGTGTTCGTATCTTTCCCATCAAAAAATCTCGGACTTCAATCTGAACAAGCCCAGGGAATGCCAAACTGCCATGGTGATTCTCTTCATCCTGGTTCCCCCCCCAGCGGTATTGACGAGGGGTTCTTCACTACCTGCACCCTGCGCTCATCAATTGTTTGCTGTGTTACCCCTTCATCTTTATAGATGACATACCCATTTTCACTGGTTCTTATGCACCCTTCTATCCATCAAACCATGCTATTCTGGTGGTATGGGTTTACGTCAAACGGTCAAACCCTAGGTGGAGGTGTAGAAGTGGTTCACTCTGCACCATTTGTTGTGGCTAATCCTCACGAATCCCTGTTGTCATGTGGTAGACCTGGATTGGGCGCTAGTGAACCTTATGATATGCCTATGTTTGCTAGTTCTTTGACTTTTGCTAAGCGACATGCCCATAAAATTGCCCATTCCTAGTAGGATTTTAGAAAACACACAAGAGACAAAAAGCGGATCTGCGCAAGTTGCAGCTAAATCCCCACTAAGTCAAGTAACTAAGTCGTCAACTACCTACTGTACCCTCTTGGTAATTTGCTGCGGCTATGGAGAAAATCACCCATTTACAGCTAATTACCTATGAAACATTGCCATTTTTGCATAACTATGTTCAATTCCTAGAAGGTATAAATAGATAGGATACCCTTTGGTTAGTTAGGATAGCTATGGAAAATTGCCCATTTAGTGATGTGGTTTCCCTCTTCAAAATGGTGATTTTCCACCCTTGGACAAAGGCGCAAAGAAGAGGCCCAGCAGCATGCCGCGGAAGGGAGCAATGTCCGCCTGGTCGATGAATGGGAAAAATGTTCACGAGATATATCGGGAAATCAACCATGAAGAATGGTCAATACCCTCTGGTAAACATACAAAAAGCTATGGAAAATCACCCTTTTGAATGGGAAAATCCATGATGAATGGCCATTTTCAATAGCTATTTTGACATAACCAGAGGGTATATCCATAAAAATGGTGATGAGTGGCGATGTTTCTTGGGATATACCCTAAATGGTCATCAAACATGGCCTGAAAATCCCCAAAATCATAGATGATTCCCCCAGCTCGAAACCCTAAATGGGGGATTTCATGGGGGAAAAAATTGGTGTTTTTTGTTGATGGGATCGTATCAAGACGTTGGGAATAAATGGGGATATCACCAGCCAATGGATTGGTATTCCAACAAATGGGGATTATATCTGAAATATTCAATGGGGAAATACCATTTGTTGGGATTATATCTGAAATATTCAATGGTGTTCCCAACAAATGGGGATTTACCCTCGGGCGAGATTGGAGAAATTGCTTGGTAAACTCAATAGTGGATGGGGATATAATGGGATATATAATGATATATATATATCCCCAAACAAATTGGGATTTACGCCAGCTATTTTTCAAGGGGATGTAACCAACCAATAGCCTGGCAAGAACGTCCATCCAGGTAGCCTTCCCGTCCATCCAACCATGCCACCACCCCTTTTTCGCGCAGCAATCAGTTCCCCACTCTCGCAGCCAGGGTGTGGTTGACGGCCAGAAGCCTCCTGGCGTGTTTTCACATGTTGGTACCTAAAAAGCGCTCAGATGTTACTGCAACCGTGGGCAACGAGCCAAAATATGAGGGTTTTACATCATAGACAACAACTGTTTGAAATGAAAACCTATAGGAAACCACGGTTTGACCTTTCAAATTATGGATGTTTCCTGTCAGTTTTCCCTGCAATGAATTCTGGGAGGAGCTGTCAGTGCCATTCAAGTGACTAGAACTGGGAAGAAATGCCTGGATGCGATCATAAATATGATACAGTAAATTTTCTGAACCGGCTGGACTACTATCTAATCAATTAGTTCTATGTAATGACTTAACTTGCAAGAATTCTGCTGTGTATTATCTTTGAGTCAAGAACAATTGGAAACGTACAAATGATATCTCCCAAAGGGCTTGCTTGGTGGAATTGTCATTCATCAATCTTATGAAACTGTCCCTTTCCATAGCGCCAGTGAACCGGCCAAAAGATTGGCACCCCAAAATCATCAGCATTTCGGTGGTTTGTTCACCATCCCCAAATAGTAGTTGTTTGTTGGGTTTACCCTCTGGTAAACTAACATAGCTATTGAAAATGGCAATTTATAGTTGATTTTCCCATTAAAAATGGATTAAAAATTGTGATTTTCCATAGTTATGTTAGTTTACCAGAGGGTACCACATCTCTAGCATCTCTCAAGATCGAGTTTGACACCCTCGCGTGACTCGCGGCCCCCTTTTTCTTCGCTGTCTTTCAACGGGATGCCGCCGTTGGGCGCCCAGTGGTTTTGGATCATCCATTGCTGGCGCCCTTTGACTTGGCGTGCTTTGGGGAAATCTGCACTTAAGACTTAAGATCAATGGCAACGAACAACACTTGACAACTGGTTACATCATCGAAGGTCCAACGTTACAGTCCATGTTGCAGGCTTAAACTGTAGCAGATGCGGACGCTCACTTCCCATGGCAACCCCCATTTTGGGGGAGTGGCGCTAAGTGCTGGTTGAGGAAACGCCGAGATTTCTGGAACAGCCCACTACCAACAAGCCGCCATCGTCGGCCAGTGAGATCCCTCCAATTTACCCACGTCTATCCAATTTCCAGACATCAACCCAATCCCAAACACCTAGTATAAAGACAGATCTTTCACTCAAAATTTCACCATCCCAGAAATCTCATGACTCAGCTCTCTAAAGCGAGCTATCTTCAGCTCTCCTTGGTTTCTTTCTTTTTGGTCCCAGCTGCTCCCTCCTGCAGTGCTGTGGCCAGGTGCCGAAGCCCCCGCTGCTTGACCTCCTCTTTGCCCATGAGCGACGAGGAGGACGCTTTGGCGGTCTCCAGAGCGTCCAGGTGCTGGAGCAGGTCGTCGAACTCCTCGTCCTGGCGAGCTGGGCACTGATGTTTGTTGGGGAACCTATGGAAAAATATGTGAAAATGATGATGAATCAATGGCAATCATATGCGATGGGTGCCTTTTTGAATGTTGATTTAATGAATGGTAATGGAATTGCCCTTTGTTCCACATTTATACCATGAATTTTACCTTTAACTTGAAAATTGTGATTGGTTATCCCATCCCAGACATGTGTAGATCCCCGTTCACCTGTGGTTTCTGGAAGGTGTTAATTTTTTGGGAGATGGGACTAATGTGGGGTTCACCCAATGCCACAAACCACCAGAAGCCACTCCCAACCAGAAATTGATGTTTTTTTTTTCTCGTTGACATGGTATAACCCATCAAGAATTTGTTCTTTATGGCATTTGGGTGAATCCCACATTAAATCTGTATGGACATTTAACCATTTAACATCCTGCAACCTAGACTAGATATGTGATTAATTACGCGTGGATATGAACATGAATCATGATGCAATACCTGTGGATGCTTGCGAAATCCGAATCACCAGTTGAAAACGGTTGTAAACATCCCATGATTTATAGGCTTCCAATCATCCTTTTGGTTTATCGGATTTCTCTGGCCCAACGTATCTCCTCCATCTCTTCATCCAAGGGCTCATCGTCGCCGTAGAGACTTTCCAATTTCTCCCAGGCCTGGAGACGGCATTCAGAGTTTTCGGAAAGCCCTTCACGGTCAAAAGAAGCGTGGTTTCATGGTCATTGGGGAAAAAGAAATAGGAAGACCTAGGAAGCATGATAGGAACACCTATAAGTTAACGCAAAAAGTAGAAACTAGGCATGATAGGAACGCCCATAAGTTAACGATAGTTCACGCAAAAAGTAGATACCCTCTGGTTATGTCAAAATAGCTATTGAAAATGGCCATAGAAATAGTGAGTTTTCCCATTAGAAATGGTGATTTTCCATAGTTACATAAGTTTACCAGAGGGTAATCCCAGTGTGAAGCTTCTGTCATAGGGGCCACTTGATCTCCACCAGATCTGCCATGGCACCGGCTTTTGGGGCTCCAGCATGAAATCCTGCGCCCACGCCACTCGGACATTTCTAAACATAACTCCAGTAGGGGTTGTGGTTTTTATAACTGTGTATAATTAGTGATAACTATATTATATATATATACATATGACTATACATATATATATATATAGTACTCATAGGGTTACTAAATGTTAGACACCAACAAACATCACTTCATGGCCCCATCTTGTGGCCAAAATACCCTGCGCACCCTGCAAAATGTGGCTGGGTCCCCATAGCCACTGGATCAGCATCGAATCCTCCAACATCTGAGGGAGACCGGCCCTCACATGTTTCCCCATGGCTTACACCGACATGGTCACATATGTGTCATAAGTTGACATACTTGGATCATCTGATCATCTTATTGACATCTATTGACCGATTTCAATCACCGCAGTTGAACCCATTCGGCCCCCATTCACTGGCGACTTCACCGAGCTTTTTGGGCCTGAAAAATCCCATGGTTTCCCCTGGGACTGGGACTTCATCGCTCCTTCACCCGAAAGCCCGACAAGTTGTCCGACATGGGCAGTTTCAGTGGACCTCGCAGGTCCGAGGACCATTTCCATCTCCTTGGCAGCGAAAAATGTCGAATGTTTTTGATGGATCCCTGATGGTCCCTGGAAACATGAAACATTGAAAGGTGAACTAAGAAAGAAAGATGGCTTTGAATCCCTGGAAAAGCTAGTCGATTTATCCCTGGAAACAATTGAAAAGCTGGTTTTTCAGATGATTTAAACCATGAAATCTGCTGGTACAACGTGGATGTCAAGATCCTTGAAGCAATTTCCAGTTGTTTTTTGTCAGGATTCCATGGTGGTCAAACAGGTACATAAACGTTCTGCCTGTGAGTGGAGATTTTCAGAGGCAAGGGACCGTATCTCCAAGTGGAAGACTATGGCTGACCCCCAGTCAGATGCTTTATGTCATTGGGTTTGCCATGGTTTGCCACATTAGCTGAACATGGTCACCATCCATGTGAGATTCTTCGGATGATATGCCGCCTGGTGCAAGCCCAGTCTCAGGGACTCTTTGAAGAATTCCCGCGCACGAAACTCGGAGTTCCGGATGCGTTCCTTCTTTTCCTGGGGGCGCTGACTTGAAATGATTCTCTTCGAAAGACGGAAAAATCTGGATGACACCAGATTAACTTAGGCAAATGTATTGACTGTTTCCACCATGGTTAACATTGACATTGGAAATGACGAATCATCCCACCACTTTCGTCGTGACTTCGCGACGGTGCGCTAGGTGGCGACACACAACAGAATTCAGCTGGTTAAGCCGCCAGTGAACTCCCTTTTTGTTGCTGGTTCAGTCCCCTTTTTTGCTCTTTTTGGTGGTCAGCTCCCTTTTTTTGCTGGTTCAGTCCCCTTCTTTTGGTGTTTTTTTAAAAGTCCCCTTGTGTGTTAAGTTTCTTAGAAATTGCTGGTTAGTTAAGTCCACTGTTGCTTAAGTCACCAGCTTTGTTGATGGCTCATGGCTCCCCCATTTCGACCTAGGCTCCACCCAGGCGGCATTCCAGCCCTCCACTTTGGAGGGCACTGGTGCAGCTTTGCCATCTGGCGTGGCGAAGCCTGGGCGGAACTTCGCCGGGTCTGGGGGGAAATCCGTGGCGAAAAAAACCAGTGGCAACCAGAAATTCCAGCCAGCTTCGCTGGGAAATTCGGCTACAAATAAAATCCATCATTTCGAAGGCAACTTTTGCCAAATGTTCGACCAAACATTCTGGGTCTTTTGCACGGCCAACCCTTGTATTTTTGCAACTAAAAAATGTCCTGGAGGTGAATGCTGCAATTTACACCGGCCCCAGGAATTCCAGCAATTTTCAATGAGAAATCCTCTGCTTATAATTTTCAGTGGTGAGATGTGGTGAGATGTGGTGAGAATTCCTCCTTGTGCATGGTTTTCAGGGTGGCATTCCCTTCCAAACTGCTGGTTTTTGCATGATGCCCATCTTCCTTCATCAGAAAGTCTCGATGTTTCGCCGGGTAAACAACCGTTCCCACACCCATCGGCCAGCGTGTTTCCGAAAGATTGCGGCCAGAGTTCGCTGGTGCCATCCCAATTTCTTGGGGAAGGTCTGTATCTCCTGGCGTGGCCCAGCCCATCACGCCCTGGGGATGGTGGCATTGGGATTACCACAGATCTAACTGCCCAAGGAGTTCATCAAGTTCCAGCCCGAGGCAGTTGAAGTCCTTGATCAACTTTGCTAAAGCCATTTCGGTGATGATGACGTGGTGATACTTCCTCAGCGCAAGAACAAACTGAGTATCTCGGAGTTTTTTTGGCGCCGAAAGACTATGGGAAATTCGGGCAGCTCATAATCATGTGGTAGACTCAATGACTCACATACTATGATATATATATATAAGATTATATAAGTATGATATACCTACATCTGGGGATGGTTTACACCACCCATTTATATCCATGTATGTTCATGGCCATATCATGTCATATCGCTTTTGAATTGGACGTGCCACATTATTCCAGAAACACGAAACAAAGAGTTGCTGGGACGATTCCCATGCCAGGTTAGCTTGTAATGTAACCAGATCATGTAACCAGATGGAGCCCGGAGAAAAACCAAGTGCAGCAACTCGCAGTTAAAACCGCCGCGCGTTAATGCCGCCCCCAGGACAGCAGGTTGTAGACGCTGACGCCCTCAACGTTTTCGCGTCGGATGGCTGGAATGTGTGCGCCAGCCCATCCTTGGACGTCATGGCTGATGGACGGAAAATCTACAGAAACCCCCTGTTTTTTTTATCGCAAAAAGTATATATGGTTTCCTGTAAGTTTTCTCTTACACCAATCCAGTGATATTAGTATATCAATGATCAGTTGGATAATCACCATGGATATTTCATGGGTAAATCCACTATTTTCATGGGAAACCTCCAACTGATTAACCATAAAGAAGGGGAGGTGCCACACCCAGCCACCCAAACCCCGCGCCGGCTTCACCCAGGATCTGCAGTTGTCGTTGATGTCCAGGTTTCCCTCATGCACCAGCAGCGCGCTATGACATCTGTGCCCCAGCAAGCGACGCAGATGCTGCACCAGATGCTTGGTCTTGTGGGACTGGAGGTTGAAGGAATCCTTGTGCACCAGAATCCAAATAGGCCAAGAGAGGCCAAGAGAGGCCAAAGCACCCAAATCTTCCCCCAAATCCAAAATCATCCAAAATCGCCAAAATCCATCTTACCCTCTGGTAATTTAACATAGCGAACTGGAAAGATCCACCATTTTCTATGGGTAAATCCACTATTTCTATGGCCATTTTCCATAGCTTTTTGTATGTTTACCAGGCCGGGTAAGTTCTGCATATTGAACCGACTGCTGGAACCCACTGTGTCCAAGGCCCAGGATCTACTACGGTGATAGAGTTCTGCACGTACTTCACGGAGAGCATCGTCTTCAGCCTGACAGCGCCAGTTAAACTGTCCCAGCTTATGGCGAAACAACCGGCTGCATCCATTGTACTATAACCATAGGTTACTATTACTATAATAGGTAACAATGGTATGGTTAACCTCTTGTTACCCTCTGGTGAACTAACATAGCAATGGAAAATCACCATTCTTAATGGGAAAATCCACTATAAATTGCCATTTTCCATTGCTATGTTAGTTCACCAGAGGGTACTATATATTCTATTATTACCATCCATTGTCCAACCGTCAACCGTCAACCTGAGCCAATTTAGACCCAGGAACGCTTGCCAAATGACCCTCACGTTCACCTTGGTCTTGCCCCAATCACCTGGGCGCAGCTGGGGCTATCCATGTGTGGAAGGTCAACTCAGCTTCTATGAGTTGTTTCGTTATGTCCATATTTATATGGAAATACTGTCTATTTCTATGTGTATGAATATATTCACATGATTTCAGATGTATGTGTTTTATGTATAATCATAGATACTTCCTGCCATGGATAATATGTATAATATAACATTGTTAGCTGTGCAGTAACAAATTCCCCCACTCATGGCCCAACTGTTTAGAAGTTTCACCACGTATTTCACCCATCTCTTAGCCAAAATGCTTCAGCTTCTGCAACAAACCTTTGTTTTACCTCTGGGCACTTTATGGTAAGATAGAAATCGGGAATTGTCAAATGTCTCAATGTGTGCCATTTCCATGTCTTGTCATCCACACAGCAACTACCAGATATATTACCAGATCCATTACCAATCTATCAAAATGACTATTCCATGGAAAATCCATTATATCCACTTCTATTCCCTTTCCAATACTGCCAATTATCACCCAAATGATCTATCCCCAATATCCCATGTGATTCCCATAATTAAAATGACCGCGTTCCCGAAATCACCCCATGAAAAAAAAGCCAAGATACGGGGCCGCAGCGCGTGGCAGTGCGTGCCTTCCCAGCGACCGGGCGCCTTGCGCCGCCCCATGCGGCCCTTGCCGCTCTTCTTCTGACTGCCTTCGCGGTTTTTTCGTCGGGCCGGGCCATCTGGCTCAAGTGGTGGCGACTAATACTGAAAAAAATGATGATTAGTGGTGATTAGTGGTGAACAATGGTATGAACAATGGTGATTGAATACATGTTAATGTATTTTCTGCATGTTAATGCTGATTATATAATAATGGTGAACAATGGTCAAGAATGGTGATTCATGATTCATGATTGATAATGGTGATTTTCATGGTGAGGATTTTTATGGAATTACCAGAGGTAAATATCAAAATCGATCAAAGGTGTGATTTCAGGGCCTTGACTTGTAAGTAATGACTTACTTAATCTCTCCCCATGGCCATCTCCGGGAGTCCTAGCCAAACCCTAAAGGCATGACTTCAAAGGGAGTTCCATCTGTTTTGGTTCATTCTAGCCGAAGAAACTTCAAAAAATGTTATATAATTTTTAACTTGGGGTGCTCCGTAAGATGACATAGCTATAGTATGCTATAGTTATTTCCAATGGTTGTTAGTTGTTACCCACTAGTCCTGAGACATCCAGCTGCATCCGCGTTGGCTGGGTTCTCCACCCCACTTTGCACCGAGGGTCGGAACTTTTTGTTGGATCCTGGCCATTCCCATTTGTAGAAGCTCATGGTATCCTGGCGACAAGTTCATCATCTCAACAAACACTTTCGACTCCAAGCTGGTTCTCCCGGAATAGCACCCAGGTGAGTTTTCCCATAAAAATTGTGATTTTCCATAGCTATGTTAGTTTACCAGAGGGTGCTGTCCCTTCCTTAGCACCAGGAAAAAAATCACAACCAAGGCAGAAAGCGAACTTCGACCCAGGTTCCAGGTAGCCAGCGAGTTTTCGACGATGAAAGGTGTAGACCTTGAAGATGATGTCCTTCCTGGAACCGGTCCGGCACCGGGGGTTCCCGGAAAAAGCCCCCCGTTTTAAAAGGAACAGAGAAATGACTGTTACAATTCTGGTATCCCCCCAGAATTAGTAAGGTAATAATAAGGCCATTAGATTATCTATCAATAAGGTCAACTGCGGGTATGTCATCCTGGGTTGACATATGTTGACATTCCTGCAACATGGTGACTATGATGGTCCCGCCGCGCCTGATGGGCAAACCAAAGATGCCTGGGTCGTCCATTGATGAAACAACATCTGGCCGCTGGGGCGAATGTCCACGGCTAGTCTATAACTGTCCGTGGTTCAAACCTCAATGAGAGTTCTTCTTAGCTTGGTACCCGCAAGAACGATGGTAGTGCAGATGAGACCGACAAGGTATGTTAAGTACATAGAACGTCCTGGTTAATGATGGTTAATGATGGATAATGATGCCTACTCTAGTGATGGTGCACCCACATCCCGCACATTATCAGCCCACTTGTATTAGCGGCCGCAAAGACCTGGGCAGAAGATGATCGCTTCTACATATTCCGAATGTTGTTCCTTGCTATTCATCTACTCATTAATAAATTTAATAATTGTAAATTCGTTCATGTTCATTTAATATGTTGATACAGCATTACCTTTATACATATATAGGTACATATATGGTATGAATTTATTTTTGTTACCATCTGGGAATCAAACATGCTCTAAGTTTCTAATCAAAAATTACAACCAAAAAATATCCCCATTTGCTCATTTGGTTTGAAATTTCCGTATTCCATTTACTTCATGGTGATTACAACAATCAGCACCAAACATCGAAAAAAATGTTCGCCTTGAAAAAAAGGCCCACTTCGTCCGATGATTTACCGATATTTTGGCAGAGGTTTCTGGGTTTTAAACCCGTTGGAAAAGAAAAGCTGGAAACCTGGAAGTATGTGGGGATTTCCATATTTTTGTGGGGCATACCAATAGCTGGATGGTTTATTTCATGGAAAATCCGACGAAATTGGATGATTTAGGTGTACCTCCATCGCCAAGGAGCTGTTGGGTACCACCACCGTCCCCAAGGGTTTGGCCTGCTTGGGAAGTGGAATACACTGGGAATATGTGGGGGTTATAAGATGATATCATGGGAATTTGTGGGATGAACAGAGCAATTTGTATCAATTTGTAATAGGAATATGTGATTTTATTGCGCTGTTCCCATCCCCACGATCATCTGATGTAACTGTTCACATGAATGGGACCAACACATCTCGGACATTCGTCTCATAGTCACGCTCGCGTGTGAGACCGGTGCGCACGCCGACGAGTGTTTCGTGAGCGTGTGGACCGTTAATGGGACCAACACATAAAAAGGAAAATCACACCCACAGGGTTTCTAGGGGAGTGATATTTAAGCATTTGGGGGGAGGTGATTATTGTTGCACCTAACTTAGGGTATAACTTCAGAAATCATCGCAGCGTTGCGGGGATATTACCAAATCGGGAACCACAACTACCATATCATCCCATATATTCCCACATATATTCCCATATATTCCCATATCATATCACAACGGGCCAAAAAAGGAAGCAAAAAAACAGCAGCGTACGTGACCACTGGATTTGGTGCTGAATGCTTGTGGTGTTCTCCATGGTTTTCCGGGAAGACAAAAAAATGCATAGTAAAAAGCAAACAAAGTTGTACAAAAATGTAGAAAGCAATGGTTTTGGGCAAAATTCCTGGGAAGCAACGCGTGCGGTTCACACATCTGAACATCCATCCTCTGCATGCAGCACTTCGAACTTGTGCACCGGCAGCTCCTGGCGAGTTGGAGGGATGAAACACCACCAGGAGATGTCATGATTTTCGATGGAAAAAAAGAGCCAGGACGTCCACGGGATATCTGTGGAAATCTTGAAGCCCAGTGGGCGGCTGGAAGTCTTGAGGACTTCACTTCACCATTTTCTCCGGATGCTCCAGTTACTTTTTGTGCCTGGTCCAGTTACTGCCGTAAAGAAAAAAGGTAAAAAAGTGTCTAACTCCGAAAAATGACTGTCCTCCCAGCCAAAAATTCCTCATGCTGACTCTGGCAGTCCCATCCATCCCCTCCATCCCCTCCAGGATGGCGTTGAAGCCCACGGCCGGGAAGGACCACCAGTTGCGAATCACCGTGGACATCTCCACGAAGTCGCCCGCAGGCATCACCTCTTTAGGACTCTGCGATGGGCAAAATCATGGTGAAAATCATGGGAAAATGACGGAAACACCGGGAAAATCATGGGAAAATGACGGAAACACCGGGAAAATCATGGGAAAATCATGGTGAAATGATGGAAACACCTGGAAAATCATGGTGAAAATGATGGGAAAATGACGGAAACACCTCGAAAATGATGGTGAAAGTGGATCACTTCTTGCAGTTGTTTCTCCGTTTTTTTCGAAAAATCAAAGAAGAAATATAAGCAAACTACCCTCTGGTGAACTAACATAGCAATTGAAAATTGCCATTTATAGTGGATTTTCCCATTAAAAATGGTGATTTTCCATTGCTATGTTAGTTCACCAGAGGGTAAGTGAAACTACGGATTTATGGCTCGCAGGGCATGTCTTGGGGCGATACAAGTTTCGTGGGCCTCGTACTGGAAAGCACCCGTGGAACCATCGCGAAATTGATATATTTTGGTGCTGATGCAAAACGAAGCAAAAACACGGAAGGTACTGTTGTGAATTCTATTTTAGTATTTACTTCCACTTGTGGAGGACTAAAAAAAGTGACCAATGCATGGACGCCCCTGGTGGCCTTAGACCTTGGATCCCTTGGATCCCTTGGATCCCTCTACGATTCGTGGCCTATCAACAGAAAGGAAATGGAAAATCCCTGGAAAATCCACCAAAACATGGCATCCCTGGAAAATTCCTCCAGCCTTGGGAGCATCATGAATACCTCAGGCCCGGAACCAAATGGGGATAGGGAGAAACCACCCAACGAATGTTGAAAGGCCCGAAAAAATATAGGCCCTTTTGTGTCTGATATGTTGAAACTGATAAATCACGAAAGAAGTTGCGATGTTCCGATTCTTTGACCCTAGGTTTCATAGATTACCCCGTCTAAATCTTCTATGTGCTCATGGCCTGAGTCATGGCATGTTTTTTTTCTGGCAATCAGGCACAACCACATGCCTGATTTTACCGATGTTATATCTTGTCATGGCTACAAAGACCTACACAAATTATATTTACCACGTGTCTGTGAAAAATACCGTGAAAGGTAGGAATAACAAAAAACCATGAACAACCCGTAAGTTTCGAAAGCTCGAGGTCCAAGCTCAATACTAAAATAAACAGCCTATGTCAGACTATATAAGGAAGAGAAAAACCATGTTATTTCCTACAAGTACAGAGTGTGTATTGCAAAACAAGGCCCAAAACAGCCAACTATGTTTTCTCACTACCAAACCAACAAAACCCTGTCCACTGCAAAACAAACAAACAAACAAACAAATCCCGGTACTACTTCGCCCTTACAAAGCTAGCAAAACTCACAAAGAGCGATTCACAATATTACTTCATTGTCACATACACAGCACGATCTTCCCATGCCACAACGCTCAGATCGCCGCGCTACAACGCGTCCAAACACAACCCATTGACAGGGTATGCTTCCGCTTGCGCATCGAAGAATACTAAGCACACTAGGAAGCATGTGGAACATTTCAATCAAATAGAGTCATGTTATGTCATCCACGATGCTAAGTCTTGAAAAGTGATGTCATGAATCATGCAAAATGTCATGTCGTTGATTTCTTTGAATTGGCTGCCCCAATTGCCATTGCTAGTAAATGGTCATAGATTTTCATCGGGAACATCCAGCTCTCAGGGATTGCCGGAAACTCCCAGGGTAATCACCATCCATCACCATGACTTTTTCATCACCACTATCAACCAGTATTACCCTCTGGTAAATTAACATAGACCCTGGCAGTTGTCGGGGTTGGAAGATTCATTTCCATTATAAAACTAGGCTATTTTCAGGGTCCAACTGTTAATTTACCAGAGGGTAATCACCACTCTCAACCCAGGTTTTCATCAGAAATTCACCGCTGACCCAGTGGGACACACCAAAAAAGCCCGCCAAGTCGCTGGGCTTTTTTTGCGACACCGAGGCAATGCATCGGCGAGGCGACAGCGACCGCGGCCGAGATCGAGCCAGCTGCGCCAACATGGCGCCGGCGAAGAGCACTGGAGAAAAAACTGGCAGAACATGGCATAATCACTGTGGAAAAATGTATGTAAATATGGTAATTTGGGGATATAACATATATATATATATAAGTATCTACAATGATGTGATACAAATATCTATTGAATAACTGAATAACTATCATGGTCGGTGACAACCGGTACAAGCAGAAATGCCAAAAAAAAACGTGAATGAATATTGAAATGTAATTCACGAAACAATTGGGAGCAGGGCCTACACGTCGAATTCTGGCTGATGCTGTTGGTTTCCTTCATTTGAATGGTGTAAAATGTGCAAGCGGATCAGACCTGAGCCGAAGCCCACCTGGTGGACTTCCTAATGGAACTTCAGTTTACAGTACTGATTTGCTGAGCTGCTTGCGTGATATTTTGCGAAACCCACCGCTTTCCCATGTATCGCGTCAATTCTTGATGCACCGACTAGTCTACTAGTCTTGGTTTGTCACCTGCTTTGGTGTTGGATATTTCTTTCAGCACCTCTTTGTTGTTGAAATGGCTGAATCTGTGTATGCAGTTGTACTTTGTCTGCTGGGTGCCGCTGCAATGCCCATTTTGACAAAAAAATACCGCGCCCTCTTGATTTCAAGCCAGCCAGAGCTCAAATGGCAAAGTGTTCCCCCTTTGTGCTTCATATGCATCAACTGGCCAAAACCGGTTTTTACTGGGACGCATGGAACACGTCAGAAACACATCTATCATCATATCCCTAGATTCTAATGATAGCATATGCCCATCCTATAGCGGTGCACTAGAAACGATTCTTGGGAAAAGACTAACGCCTCTGGCAACTCTGGTGATCGCAGTGCCAGGAGGGAACACAAAAAGAACACAAAAGGGACATATCACCCGTCATTTTCCCGGGGTGTTTGGTTCTAATTGTCTATTGATTACATTTGGTTCTATGATACGATGGACATGTATCTATGCATATATCTTTGCGTATATCTATACATATCTGTGTGTGAATTCGTGTGTTGATGTATCTATCTAGTCAAATATCTGGCTAAATGAAATCATATGTCACTGTATACCCTCTGGTAATTTAACATGGCTATTGAAAATGGCTATTTATAGTGGATTTTCCCATTAAAAATGGTGATTTTCCATAGTTATGCTAGTTCACCAGAGGGTAACCTGACCCCGACTCCGAAAACCCCATGATTTCCAGGGCGTCTCCTGAAACGCGGCGCGCTATGCCGAGAGCCATCCGGAGAAGCGCCGCCCAGGCATCAAACAATGGTGATGGTCGTCCATCCCATAATGAGCCCATAATGGGAATCCTTACAATGGGCTATATATATATATAAACATATCATATATATATATATAGAGAGAGAGAGAAAAATTATATGCATATGTATATGTGCTTATGTTTATGCATGTGTAATTATATATATAATATATCTGTGTGTGTGTGTGTCTAGTGTCTCTATTAGTGGATTTTGCTGACCATCCCCCAAAGCCTGCCGGTACACTCGAAACATCCCTGGAATGTGGAGCATTCTGGGATGGGATGATGGGATAATGGGATGATTCTTCAACTATCCCGTACCAAGAGTATACCATCTGGTTATGACTGTTACACTGCCATGGAAAGATCCACCATTATTAAGAACGGTGTGCACCATCTATTGAATCTATTTCGATATGGGCCATCGAAAAACCATGGCGAACTGTAACAGTCATAACCAGAGGGTAGTTGAAATCACACACCATCTCGGGTACCTTTTGCTGCGGAAGTCGCCAGGCCACCAGTCATTGGTTTCTTGGCGCCAAAAAGGGGGACGTTCACAGGAAACAACAGTTTTACCCTCTGGTAATTTAACATGGCTATTGAAAATGGCTATTTATAGTGGATTTTCCCATTAAAAATGGTGATTTTCCATAGTTATGTTAAATTACCAGAGGGTACTTGTGAACTTGTAAAGGCTTCCTCTAGGTTTTCCCTTCTAAGTCTGGACAGTGTCAAGCTTGAGGACCTGATGAATGGAACATCGCAGCCTAGTCACTAAGTCACTCCCCTATGCGAGCTCATACAGCAGAGGTCCTGGGTTGTATTGGCGATGACATCTTTTTGGGAATTTGCCAAAATATTACACCAGGTCACCAAGAAGGACAAAAAACCACCAGAATACATTGAATATGAAAAAAAACACCAGAATATAAATGTCAATGAATGTCCCCAGCCATGTCATGTGGGCTTTACTTCAGCCCCATCACCACGTCGCGCTTGCGCCGCAAGCGCCACCTCGATCTGATGTTTGTAATCCGTTTCGGCCACCAGGACGCCCCCTACGAAGGCACCCAGGGTTTCAGAGAGGCCAAAGGCCTGGCGGTGGGGTTTTCCCCCTTCCGATGGGATCATTGGATAGAGGGGGTGGTGATGAAATATGATTATTATCTAGTATATATTTTAGTTTATCAACATAACTTTTTGTACGACTATAGGATCATTCCAAAAATTATAACCCATAACTTATGATAGTTTATTCCATGATTATCTATTATTGACGATGGAATTTCATATGAAATATATACGTATATTATATATATAATGTGAGTAAAGCAATAGCAAACAATCCCCAATTTTACCACAAAATGTATAAACGATCAATATATGGGTGGTTTGTTCTTGCTTCACGGACATAGAATGGGATACACTTCCTGGACGGCTGGGAGGCTGGAACATAGCTGATATGGGAAGCATGACATGAATGATTATTCTCAATTTAAGCTGCAACCTGAAGAGTTTGGGTTTATATAGATATTGTTGGGTTCCATGTGAAATTCCATGGATATGTGGGTGATTGACCCTCCGGGTAGAAGTAACAACGCTTTATATGGAAAAACCGACCGTTTTCTGTGCATCTTAAGTTCATTTTCCGTGGATTTTTGCCGTTTTAGCCATGGATTTTCCATATCTAAACCCTATCCAAAGTGGGGGCGTTCCCTCGCCTGGGTGAGACTGGATGACAGCAGCACAGTGCCCAACGTCACAGCCAAAAAGGCCTGGGGCAAATGTGTCATATCTTAACCAGAGTTAGATATATTTTTCATAGCTATGGAAAAAATTGGCCAGAGGGTAACCTAAGATATGGTTAGTAATCATTATTTTTATACTTGTAACCTATATACAGTAGGTGTTTTGCTTTGTTGATCATTGAATAATAACCATGATTAGTAATGGTGAATAACGAGCTTGTTTCTCGTCTTAACAATCCCCAGATGACAAGGGATGATACCCTCTAGTGATTTTCACATAGCGAACTGGAAAATCGCCATGGTTAATACGGTTAATAGGTAAATCGCCTATAAATGGGCCATTGATCATAGCCATCTTACAATTTCCAGACCATATCTTCCAGTTTCTGTTGCTTTCATCCACTGACAAGAATTCGGATCCTTCTCTGGTGACTGGATGGTTGGCATATCTTTATATATCATATCATGCAATATCACATCTCATATATTTTAGCATCGTATATCAAATCAACTAAAATCATGTTAATACATATCTATGTATATATGCGTGTGCATCAATACAAATTAATGTATGAAGTCATATTGCTCCTCTAGATCACCTCTAAATCATAATCTATACATCAAATAATATCATATACGACAACATCTCATACATATATATATATATAATCTAAATATATATAGTGTAATTTCCTAAAATAGTGGTACCCCCAAATCATACATTTATAGATCGGAGTTTCCCTTCTAACCATCCAGCTATTGGGTACCCCCGGCCGATCTCTGGCCCCACCTCGGAGGAGTTGGAGCGCTTCACAAAGGCCAGCAGCGGCTGCAGCAGGAAACTCGGCGTGGCGAAGCCCGGCGAAGAAGGCGAAAGTCACGGGAATGCTCACGAATTCTAGGGGATAAATGATGATAAATGATGATAAATGATGATAAATGATGATAAATGATGATAAATGATGATAACTGATGATAAATGATGATAAATGTGTAATGTAGAGTCATATTAACTCTAATGTGTTGTGTAAAATTGTGCTAAGAATGGTTTATGATGGTTTATGATGGTTATGGTTTTTAAGTATACAGCCAAAAAGATTAATTAAGGCCAAGGATATGGCATTTTGTGCCCAAGATCACAATTTTCTCGGAATAGGATGTGCTAAGAAACCATCGCTATCATGTTCACAAAAAATGTGGGGTTTACTGGTTTACTAAATAAGGGGTGTGTTTTCAATGGTGGAACATATGGCTGATATGAATTGCTTATACACGCACGTGCCCACATAAATGTATATATATATATATATATCAACAAGTGTATAGTATATACGTATGTATATATATATGTGTGTGTGTGTGGGGGTGTGTGCACACATATATATATATATATCATCATCATACTCTGATTGCTCTTGGTGGATTGATTCCAAATGATTTGTTTGTGTCTTGAGAGTGATAGATCTCAGGGACCATATTTTCTTATATGTGTATATTCGCCTCTATTCTATATTTACTGGATCGATATTGTCCTCCATTAATTAAACTCATTAAACTAACATAGATGCGCAGAATCACCATTTTTTAGAGGTAAATCATGGTAAATCATCGAACTGAATGAACCATCTTCATCCATTTTCCACATCTTTCCAGAGATTTCCTCGATGCTCACGATCCTCCAGGATGTCGGCATCCGGGCTGACCGCTGGCAGCAATGATGCCCAAGGCTAAGACGGCCTGAGATCACCGGAGGCTTTCCTCCAAAATGCGAAGAACTGGATGGGAACCTGAAAAGAAACCGCTTTTGGACGTGGGAAACCCCAACTTTTCACCAAAAATGAGAGTTCGACATGCCGAGTTCGGACTCCGGCCGTGCCTTTCCGAAAGCTTCAGAGAGGACGACCTGCAACGAACTTGGGACCATCCCCAATAAAAACTGTATGGCAATTCATCATGAAATACACTGCTATTAATTTTGTTACTGAAACCTAAAATCACCTGAAATCATTGACCAACAAGTAGGCAGAAACAGAGGAGGCCCAATTTCTTTTAGGATCATTGAGGCAGTCCATCCGCCCCTTGAAGCATGACACCTGCCCCTTGGTACCAATAATGACTTGACCAGCGAGATGCTGTGAGCCCCAATTTTTCTTCGGACTGGTTGGCTCCAATGTCGACCTCAACCTTTACACGAGGTCACACGCAGGATAGCTATTATTTTGCTCCTGCTGTCCTATGCAAAGCCTGGCGATTCATGCAGCAACATGTCGAGTCAATCATCGCATGCTGGTCCTGAGTTCAAACCGTGCAGTCTTGAAATCATTCTGAAATCTTCTTGGCCTCCAGCTCAGGCACTAAAATCCTCCGTGATGTTGCAAGAATTTCATCGGTTTCGAGCATTGCCCCTTCGAATCAAAGATGCAAATCCATGGGGCACTGAGGATCTTCAAATTACGGCGACCTGTTCACTGTGCGGTGTTGTGAACCCGGGCGTTGGCCGTTTGTCGCCGAGCTGATGCTGGAGGAGTGGAGCGCTGTACAAACAGAGATTTGGGTTTCGTCCACAATGCCTTGGGCCTTGGGAATGCTTCTTGAGCCGCCCGAAAAACATCAAGTGGGAATTTGCTGGTATTTCTAAAATAGTCGAAATTCTGAATGTATCTAAATGTCATTGAGCACTGTTCCTAACCGGTTGTGAACAAAACGGAAGGTCTCTGCTCTGTTTTTTTCTGTACAAAACCATGGAGGGCTCGCCCTCTGAATCCATTCAGAGTCGGAACTTCCTCATCGCCCATGGCGAAGTTTAGCCGCAGATTGCCACTGACCTCATAGGAAGCAGCGATTTCGAGGATGGCAAAGGTTTCCAAAGTGTAACTCCAAAAAAAAACGCAATCCTATTTTTTCCATCGCCCTCTTCGAGAGTTTAGTGCAAGCATATTTGGGGCACACAATTTTTCAAACAAATGTGACATGGATATGGATGGATCAGTGACCTGCGAATATGGGCTAAATCCCCGGGGGGGAACTGTTTTCACAATGGAGCTCCAACCCCCAAAAATGGACGGTTTGATACTAACAGCAGCAGCGGCAGCAGCAGCAGCAGCAACAGCAACAAGAACAACAACAACAACAACAACAACAACGACGACAACAATAACAAGAACAACAACGCCGCCGACAACAACAACAAGAAGAAGAAGAACAACAACAACAACAACGCCGCCGACAACGCCGACAACAACAACAAGAAGAACAAGAACAACAAGAACAAGAACAATAACTAACAACGCCTCCGACAACAACAACAAGAAGAAGAAGAAGAACAACAACGCCGCCGACAACAACAACAACAACAAGAAGAAGAACAACAACGCCACCGACAACAACAACAACAACAATAACAAGAAAAACAACAACAAGCAGAAGAAGAACAACAACGCCGCCGACAACAACAGCAACAACAACATCAACAACAATAAAAAGAACAAGAATAACAACAACGCCGCCGCCTACAACAACGACAACAACAACAACAACAACAATAACAACAACAAGAACAAGAACAAGAACCACCGCAACAACCGCAAACAAAACGCAACAACCAGCAGAATTATGATGATGAGAAGCACTTTTTGTGGGACCATTCCCTAGTTTGACTCATACAATTGGTTTTCCAATTTCTTCCCATGAGTGTTCATTAAAATCGCTAAAACGTGCAGGAAACCCTCCGTATTGCAAAAACATATAGGGCAAAGACAGAGTCAGTCACCCGAGTCAGTGGCCCCAAACGTCCGAGTCAGGAACCCCATAGGACAAAGTCAGTCACCGGTGAACACTAGCACAGGATGCAGGGAAACCAGGAAGAGGAGACAGAGAGTCAGCAACCGAGAGTCAGTCACCCCTCGGAAGCCGCGAGGAGGATCAAGGAACCCGGAGGAAAACAGAAAGTCAACAACAAAGAGTCGGTCACCCCTGAAAGCTATCTATTTATCTATCTATCTAAATCAATCAATCTATCTATCTATCTATCTATCGATCTATCGATCTTTCGATCTATCGATCTATCCA